ACCCCAAAACATGGTAGGAGCAAGCAATTTCTTCATGATGTGGCTTGGGAAAGATTGACTCCCTCAATGTAAATACCCTCCCTGACACTTCAGATGAAAATTTATCCATAGTACAGTATCTCAGTGCAGTACTCCTAGATGGAGCAGGCATAATCACAGCCCCTCAGGAAGTATTATAATGTTAGAATGTCATAAAGTCTGGGTACAGCTAATAGTCCTGTTTAAAGTTAGACAAAAATAGAGCTAAAAAGGTATGTTGTGGCCACATTGTTGAGGACTCTGTGTGTGTGTGTATGTTTAAATTTAAGCTATCTAGGGTTCAGAACTAGAAAGTAGAGTTTTTTCTGCTATAGTGGGAGTTAGACTCTTGTGGAAAGAGAAGAATATTAATTACTAGTTTTGATTGCTAACTGTTCCATGTAGATTGTTCTTCAAATCAGATAATGCAGACCATCCTCAAGTCATTGAAAAGCTATCCAGGATTTGACCTTTTCCAAACAAACTCCAGTTAGATTTCCTGAGAATAGCAAATATTAAAAAAGGGTGAGGTTGAAACTCCCCCACTTTAGCTCTGCTATCCTGTTAAGGTAAACTTTTGATTGACTCAGACAATCAGACCAATATGAACAAGACCTATACGCCTCTTTGAATCAAAGTCTGTGAGAGACAGGGTCACACCGTAAGGAATCTGTTTGGATATTTAGAGCAAATAATTTACATCAAATCTTCTGTGAAGTTAAATCTGCCAATGAGATATCACTATAAAAAGTTTTGACTCACAAAATAATTTTTTAACAGTAAGCTATAAGTCCGTGACAAGGAATATAGAGTCCATCCATTCATGGCATAAGAAAAATGTTATGAAGGTCAGAGTTTTGGTGAGGGCAAATAGATGATTAAGAGGATGACAACTAAAGACAAATTTAGATTTTTTAAATTGAGTTAAAAGAGTACATAAACTTGAAGGATATTTGCAATTATTATATCAGGCATTTTAGCAATGAATAGAAAGAGCAAAGACTTGACTTTTACTTTTTATTATTTTTTTGAGATGGTAACCAATGATGAAATAAACTGTTTACAGAATGACCCAGAAACAGTATCAGTGCCAAAATTATCTATAATTCTCCAAAATCCCCAAGAGGATGTCTATGTCAAAATCACAAAAATGTGATGATTGATTCTTTGATATTGATGGCATCACATGGAATTCATCCTATGGTAGTCAATAGTTAATCAGACTAATCATTTAGATATAAGGTGTGTGCTGCCCATGTGTGTTATGTATATCCATGCACAATGTCAAAACACAGCTCATGGAAAGCATTGATGGATGTCTCTGGAATCTTGTTCACTCCTCTCTAAGGGAGACTGTGATTCCTGCCTTTAGGGGGAGCAAGAAAAAGGATCATGAAGATGAGTGCTCAGTTATCCACAGAGATAAGGGTACCAGACTAGAATTATATCTGTCTGCTGTCTCTCCCGCCCCAACTGCAAAATATTGCTGGTGTAGGGGCCTGATTGGTTCAGAACAAAAATCCACTAGTTTCCCTAGTAACTCTCTCATAAAGAAGGAAAGGTATACTAAGCTTACACACACTTCCTTGGCCCCTTAATACCAAAATCTGGTTTCACAAAAGTAGATAAAGCAGATAAAAACAAAAATAAGAGAAGTTTTACAGATTAGATTATGCCAAAAAAATACAGAAGACTAACTCTACTCTCCCACTGGGAGCAAGATCTCAGCTCAAAACAAGAGAGTCCCCAATCTTGCCAAAGGGGAAATTCCTAAAAGTCTCTTGGGAGACAAGCTGAAAATCAGGAACTTGTTGAGGAACAGACTTCCCTACTTATCTTGAAGAGAGTCTGTCTCTTTCTCCTACCTGGAGATATTCCTGAATAGGATCTGAAATCACAAGTCTTTTTTGAATAAGAACTTAAGAATGTCCCTCCTCTCTAAAACTCTTGTACAAACACTGCCCCTTGAGGCACTTATGCAGCCTCACATCAGCATTCTCTCTACCAGTTAGGAGATTCTCATGAAAGATGGTGCAGCTAGGCTAGAAATTGGGGTTACAATTAAACTGCCATGTTTGAAAGATTTGGTATGACACAAAAAAAGTGAACTGAGGTCTAGGATTTCTTCACCATGATAGTCATCCAAATTCCACGGAAATAAATTTTTTTAACTAAACTGGTATCCACAAAACTTTTAGCTATTTCAAAATATCAAATCTATTCCCACCAGAAGAATGAATTTTTTCCACTATTGGGTTACACTTTAAAGAATGTTGTAGTTTTTGAAGACAGCTTCAAAAGAGAAGTCCCAAAAGCCTTCTGGGCTCTGTGACATCATTTTGCAATACATGTTTAGTCTTTCAGAAGGACAATACTCATTTATATCCCTAAGTTTTGGTATATTTACAAATAGTCTTCATTATTCTATATATTTTATATATACCTCAAGCACAAGAATAGCAAAACTATAAATCATTTAATAACTTATACTCTTTGCTAATTAAGAAAGCTTTTCAACTAAAAAAAATTCTTTAAAGAAATACTTATTTATCTGTAGGGATATTCAGTGTTCATGGCTTGGGAGGAAAGGGAATAAGTATTTGTTAAATAACTCACACCATGCAAATTGGCAAAGATGACAAAAAATGGGAATAGGCAGTTTTAAAGGGTTTGTGTGGGAAAACAGGCACACTAATAACACATTCGGTAACTGTGAATTAATTTGACCATTTTGGAAAGCAACCTGGAATTTTGCTAAGAAATTTCACACCATTTTACCAAGAGATTCCATTTCTAGACAAACACCCCTGAGAAGGTGTAGGATAAACAGAAAGGACCAATAGACACCAACAAATTTATAGCACTACTTTCTGTGGAAGCAAAGAACTGGAAGCAAAATCAACGTCCCATCAACTGGGACTGTCTAACCAAGTATGGATGCAAAAGAATATTACTACACCATCAGAAATGATGACTATGAAGAAAGCATGGAGGCATGGGAAGAATTCTACAAGCCAATACAGGGTGAAGTTAGCAAAACCAGGAAAAGTTTACAAAATAATTAGGGTATAGAAGCAACAATAGAAATCAAGTCTGAATGGTGTGCAAATTTAATGAACACGCTTGGCACAAAAAAAGGTGTGGATGCATCTGTCTCTCTTCTTTGCAGAGGTATAGGGCTGTGGAGATGACCAGAGCATATCTGTTTGACTTGAATGATGTACTGGTTAGTTTTGCTAATCTGCCTCTTTCCTCTTTTTTTATATTATTATAAGATGTCAATCAAGCAGTATTTGTCTCCTATATGCCAGGCACTGTGTTAAGCCCAGGGAATACAAAAAGAGGCAAAAGACAGTCCCTGCCCTCAAGAAGCTCACAGTCTAGTGGGGGAAGGCAACAAGCAAACAAATGTGTACAAACAAGCTATATACAGGATAAATAGGAAAGAATTAACAAGGGGAAGGCTCTAGAATTAAGGAGGCTGGGCAAGGCTTCCTGTAGAATTTGAGATTTTAGTTAGAACTTGAAGAAAACCAGGGAGGTCAGTAGTCAGAGCAGAGAGAGGAGAATATTCCAGGCATGGGGGCAACCAGAGAGGATGCCTGGAGTCAAGAGATGGAGTTCTTGTTTGTGGAACCTCCTGGAGAAAACTGCCAGTAAATGGAAGAGTACATGTCAGGGAGTATATGTAAGAAGACTGGAAAGGTCAGAGGGGGCTAGGTTGTGAAGGGCTTTGAATGGAACATTTGAAATCCCCTAGTATAAGGACAGGAGTGAGGAGGAGAGAAAAATGGTGAGCCAGGTACTGAACTCATTGAGGAAGGTATAGAAGTGATCTTTATAACCAATGGCTATCAGGATTTGGATTGGTCACAGATAATGAATTGCATGAACCTTAAAGGAAGAGGTATTAAATGAGTCATGGAGGTCAGGAAAGCACCTGGAAGCGACAATGGGGAGCAAGGAGCATTCCAACTCCCTGCCTGCCTCAGACAGTGAAATGCCTCTCTGAGTAGTGGTTGTATTGAGAAATGAAAGTGATATAAAAACCAAAGGTATCAATAGGAAAAAAGTTGTCAAGATAAACTTGACCTGAGTTGATCCAACTTAAGGTGATTTGAGAGGAATTTGAAGGATAATGTGCTCTACAGAGATGCTATATTTTGCTCTATATGGATAGTTGCACAGAGTTCATAGCTTATTAGGGCATATCCCAGCTGTAATGATGCCTTGATTATTGACTAAGTATGTTGTAATCATTCAGTTAATAAGTATTAAGCAAAGCACTAGAGCAGGAGCTATGGAGAATACAAAGGAAAATATTGCAAAGAGGTGTCATGCTGATACCAAACAGGCTTTGCCTACCTCTGTTCCATTATTGTACTTTTATCCTTTTCTTTCTATACAGTTTTCCCAAATGCAGTATTACGGCAGTTTATTTAATGGGTTACCACAGCCAAAGAATTCACCACCAAGTAGCCAACAGATTTGGCTTGATGAGCCTCTCTTTTATGTAGGCTGGTTCTCAGAAAGCAGACAAGTTGCTAAGAATTATTCGAAGCTTTTCCAGCCTGATAGAACTTATTTGACATTATACTTGGTTAACATAGTCTTTGAGCATCCAGGGTCTCTTCCAGATCACACTAAAGCATTTCTGTAGGATTTGTGGAGAACTATGTAAAAAAAGTAATTTTTTAAAAACGATTCTTCTAAAGTCAATGATGTTGTTCTTAGTTCTTTATGCCCAAAGAGTCTTTGATTCACTCTTATACACCCCAGACTCATGTCATGAAATACATCTTCTTTTGATCAGTAATAGACAATGAATGCTTTTATATGCATTTGAGGCTTTTCTCATATTGAGAAATTGAATGATTGAGAAGGACCCTTGAGAAATACTAAAATTAATTTAAGTATTAAATATAATGTAACTTGTTGAATTCTGTCCTCATGCTTTGTTTCTCTTTACATATATATATTAGGCACTTGGAGGTGTCCCAGGAAGTCAGCCATTACTGCCTAGTGGAATGGACCCAACGCGACAACAAGGTCAGTTCTTTAAAATGTATGTCTATGAAACTGATGCTAAGAATCTCAATTTACTTTCTCAAGTAAATTTCTGCAAGTTTCACTTTCTGTTACCATTGCACTTGTACGTATAATTTACTCAACTGCAGAATATAAGAGACCTATCAGGAAACCTGGATTTTAATTCCAGGCGTGTGACTAACTTTATGACCTTGGAGAGGGCCATTTCATCTCTCTAGGTCTTGATTTTCTTACCTGGGGCAGTTAAGCTAGAAAATTCCTTACGTTTCTGACATTCTGTAAATTGTATATTATGATTTGCATTTATGGAGTCAGTATAATAAAATGGAAGAGGGGGGCAGCTAGGTGGCACAGTATAGAACTCCGGGCCCAGAGTCAGGAAGACTCCTCTTCCTGAGTTCAAATCCAGCCTCAGACACTTACTAGCTGTGTGACCCTGAGCAAGCCACTTCACCTCTGTTTGCCTAAGTTTCCTCATCTGTCAAATGAGCTGGAGAAAGAAATGGCAAACCACTTCAGTATCTTTGCCAAGAAAACCCCAAATGGGGTCACAAAGAGTCAGATGTGACTGAAAAGACTGAACAACAACAAGAAAATAACAGTAATGCAAAGATCATTGGAGTAGTCTTCAAGAGACTTGGGTTCTGAATCCTTGCTCAGTCAGCCACTAGCCATGTGACTTTGTGTAGGTCACAACTTCTCTCAACCTTAATTTCTTCCTCTGTAAGATGGGAACAATAATCAGCTGCGCCCACTCCATAGGACTATTGAGAAGGTTCAGTAGATAATATATGCGAAATCACTTTGAAAATTGTAGGGGCCTATACTGATAAAGATAAGAAAATGTTACTCTTATGAATGATAGATATGAATTAGAATAAATAAAATAATAAATATCCTTGGAAGATAGGAATAACATGGGTATTGAATCATTCTAGGTGACTGCATCAAACTCTTAACCCTCCAGACTTTTATCAGAATTGCCAACAGGTAGAAATATTAAATAAATCGAGTTTCACCTCTTCTTGCTTGCTATTTCTGACCACTTCTGGTAGAGAAGTTGGTAAACAGTGAAATGACCACAAAATGAACCAGAATAATTTACATTACTAGATTAAACACACACACACACACACAGCTTAATACTTGACGGTTGCTTGTCATTATTAACTGACATTTATATAGTGCTTTACAAAACACTTCCCATACATTATCTCATTTGATTTTCATAATTCAATGTGGTGGATACTTTAGCTATTATCCTCATTTTGCTTCCGAGGAAGCTGAGGTCCAGAGAGGATCATTCACTTAACCTAGTCATGCAACTAACAGGCATAATTTGAATCTGACTCTCTCTTAAATCTGAGGGATGCTCTCTACCAGGAACAGGAACTCAACACTAGGATATCCCCTAGAGTATTCATAAAGATGGGACTATTCTAAGAGAGTAGCAGAATCTCAGCTATGCTAGGGAATGCAGGAAAGGATGCTAAGTAGTTTCAGAAATGGGCCATCTGTTGTTAAGCCACTACAATTTTAAGTCAGGTGCCTGAAATGTCATCATCTTATATAAGTATAGAAACTGTTGACCCTGGTTTGGCATTCATGTACATTGAAATCTTACATCTTCATGTCTTTTTTTCAGGACATCCAAATATGGGTGGACCAATGCAGAGAATGACCCCTCCAAGAGGAATGGTTCCCTTGGGGCCACAGGTATTTGGCATGAATGTTTGTGTGTGGCAGTTGACATAGATAAACCATAAGCACAGCCAAGAGACTTTTTATGATGTAGGAGCTGTAGGATAGGACTAACAGTGATGTTACATCACATAACACTCATTTCTTTTTTCTGCCTAAGTAATAACTTTATTATTAATTCAAGTGCTGAAATGCAAAAATATCTTCAGCAATAATATACAAAATGTATCTGAATAGTAACATTAGCTGACCGAAAAAACAGTCTGCCCAGTTTGATGCAAATGTTTATACATATATTATGAATTTTCTAAATCACAACTACCCCAATACAGGTCTTTAAATCATTATAACAATGTGTTTATTTCCAAAACAGGACTCATACACAATATTTATTTCACACTGGCTAAGCATATTATATCTGGCTTTTAACATGACAAATGCCTGATATAACATTGTGTTTCTGGGGATATGATTTTGTCTGTGTAAATCCAAATCTGAGTAATAAATCATGTCTTAACAGCTTTCCACTTTATTTGTATAGTGCCTTTTCCTCTTTAGAGGAAATGTATTTAGAAATGTAATTTAGTATTTGATAGGTAGCAATGCCTTTCTATTGGATATACTAAGAGAAAGGTTGTGATATTCTAAATAAAAATCAAGGTGCTGATAATGTTAAATAGCAAAGCATTTTAAAAATCATGTGAGTTTTATATTCACAATTTTCTAGTATACACAAGAGGGCCGTTGAGAAGTCATCTTTGAAGTATGTTCTCTTGTACAGATCTAATACTATTCAATGTATGTTAGCTGTACTTAACCAGAAGCAACAGATTATACACTAGAATTGAGACTTCTCTATCCAGCAATGGCATTTTAAGCATTTTGTCCCAGGAGGTCAAATTTGTTTTAGATAGTTTCTTTATGTTTTTCCTTACGTTTGCAGAAAAAGTGCCTGAAGTGGAAATTAATTTCTAAAGAGTGAATCAAAATAATAGAAATGAGGGTTGTGTAAACCTGTGCAGGGGGCTGTCATGTGGTTAACAGTAGTCAGTGAATTTCCTTTCCTGTCATCCTCATGAAAGCAACTAATAGTTTTGCTCTTTTAGAATGTATTTGATGCCAATTTGGATACATAAAAGGAGTGTTGGGCTGTTTTGTTATTTTTCAAGTATCTGACAGGACTTCAAATTAATTTTGTTCTTATGGTTCATTTGAATGACTATTCTGGTCATATTAACTTATGCTAAAGATAAACTATTTAGGTTTTCCACCTGGCTACTTTGTGAGTTGGTATCATTTCATTCTTTGTAGTTGTATCCACAGTGCCTGTAACATAATAGGCATTTAATAAATGTTTACTAATTGATCAGATAAGAAAATATTTCCATTAAAGTTCTAAATAATCACTAAAATTGGTAACCCCATCCTTTCAAAGCTTTCATATTTTTCTAAGATTAGTTAAAATTGGTTTCCATCCAAGATACCCAAATTTAAATGAAACCAATCATTCTGGACCCAAAATATTCCTAGGTAACCTTTAAGGATCTTTGGTTGGATACTTTAATTTTTTTTTGTCCCCAAGTTTCTACATAACTTGATGAATTAAGTTTATTAAATTGTATCCAAGTAGTCTAAGAGTTTGAACTGAAGAGTTCAAAGTGTTAGAAATTATGAACATATACAAAATGCTGACTTTATAGAATCATATGGGTTTCGTATAACTAAACTTACATGTTTTTAAGTTATGTTTTTCAGAGTACTTACATGAAACAAAATCTTACATTATACAAATGCAAGTTCCAAACTCTATTATCTGAACCAGGCCAGTTTTTATGGCAATTAGTCCCAATCAATTATTAGACAAGTATTTATTAAGTGCCTACAATGTCTCAGGCGTTGTACTAAGTGCTAGAAATACAAAGGAAAAAAATGAAACAATCTTTGCCCTTAAGAAGCTTTCTTTGAATTAGGGTAAGAGTGCATATATAAACATGTATAGACATGCATATATACATATGTATGTATGTGTGTACTCTCTAAATATAGTGTATATGTGTGTATATGCATGTGTTATATACATATACACAAAATATTCGGCATAAATACAGTATAATTAGAGAGAAGAGCCATTAACAAGTGGGGAGATCTTGAAAGTCTTATCATCGGATCAGAGAAAATGGCATCTGGTAAAGTTAATAAATGAGAAAAGAGAAGGGCTCAGATAAGATCCTTGAGGTACACCCACAGGTAGGAAGCATAATAGGAATAATAAAACAACTACAATAAGAATGGATTGTCAGACATTTGGGAGGAGAACCAAGAAGGAGCAATGTCACAAAAACCTAAAAAGTATATGTTGAGGAAGGGAAAGTGTCAAGTTGCCAAGATGTTGAGAAGGATGAGGATTGAGAAAAGGCTGTCAAATTTAGCAATTAACATATTAAAATAATTGGTAACTTTGGAGAGAGTAATTTCAGCTCAGTTAATGAGTTTGGAGAAAAGTGGGGACGACAAATGTAAGAGCTTTTTTAAGTTGACTGAGAAAGGGAGAAAGTAATAGAGATGCTGGCTTCAGGGATTGGCTGGACCAAATGTGGTTATGAATTTTTGTTTTGTTTTGTCTTGCTTTGTTTTAGAATTGGGGAGATTTGGACAAGTTTATAGGTAGCAGTGAAGGAGCCTGGAGATAGGGAGAGACTGTAGAAAAAGAAGGAATAATTAATAGAGGCAGTTTGCTGGAGAAGACAAGAGATGGTAGGATCACATAAAAGAGTTGGCCTTAGGAAGGGGAATGGTCCCCTCTTCATCAAAGACTGGAGTAAAGGAGAGGAGAATAGCAGATGATGTCAAGTGGCTTTGACAGGAGTGGGAGATAGATGGGTCATAGTGAATGGTCTCTGTTTTCTCAATGAAGAATGAGGTGAGACCCTCCCAAGAGTAGGAAAGGAAGAGATTATGTGGTAGGCTTGAAGAGAGAAGAGGTTTGTAACAGCCTTTGTGGGATTGGGATACAAAATCAAGGAGGAAAATAAATTATTTTGTTGTGATAAGGGTTCTGTTGAAATTATATAACATGAATTTGAAGCCAATAAAGTTTTGCTTTACTTAAGTTTCTTTTCACCTAAAGATCTTGCATAGGTCATTAAGAATTTTTAACTGTTTTTCTATTATTTCTGTACCATGACCCAACTTATTTGAATTGGATTTTCAATTTATATTTCTGCTTTTCCACCTTTTTGCCATCTTTTTTCCTTTAAGCATCATTAAATATGTGAGAAGTTTAGTTAGAGCAATTTGCTAATTAACCAGTGTATATTAGGCCAAATATGTAATTATTCTAGCAGCATATTTCATTGGTTAAATGTTTTCATTCTCAGATAACAGAATCAAATAGGTTACCTCTGGACAAATTAGCAGTTGAGGTTTTTCTTCAGAAATTTTTCTTAATGCACAGTGGTTTATGTCCAAATTTATTAAATTTATTTAGTTTTCAATTGACTCTTCAGCTTTTATCATTCCAAACACAATAGTTCTACTAAGGAGGGTTGTTGTTGTTGTTGTTGTTGTTTTAATGAATTTTATATTGGAGGAGTTATGCTGACATTGTTCAGGATGTGCCTTCCTGAGATGTCAAAGCACTTAGACTTCATTTGAAAATGTAGTGTGCTTTCTGGTTAGTTTGGTTATGCTCTAAATTACACAGTTGTGTATTTATTTGGCTTATGTTGTAAGTAAATTAAATTAATAAAGTTTAGAAAATACCCATTTCAAGTAAATTTTATTTGTGAGCAATGGCTAACAAAATCATAACACAGACAAGAATTCATCCTTTGAGATTATTCTTGCTTGTGGCTAAGCAACACCCTTGCTCTTCGTTGTCACATACATTATGTATTTACATGAGAAATGAGGCAGTTTTTCAAATTTAGGCTACACAGAGACAAAGGAAATTGCTTATACAAGACATGCATATTTAAATGAAAGAAGAAACTATTCTTTTGTCTATACCATATTAAGAAAAAATAAGAGCTATTCTTGGCCCAGGTAAAATAATTTGAAGTGAGGGGATTCTAATGAGAATTTATGTTTAAATTTCTTAATTGTTTTAAACTTAATTACTTTAAACTTTGTCAATAGTAACATCATGACCCAAAATTTGCTTGGAGGGGACCAAATAGAACTTTCTTCTGTAAAATGCCATATTGACTGTGATATTTGAAAAACAATGGAATATTGAATATTTACTCTTAATGTATTCTGAGGTTGAGATTCATATGGTAGAGGAAAGAATTTGCAAGCATAGGAGCATTTTCGAACCTTAAAAACGGAAGAAAAGTACATCTTTTAATCAGCAGAGGTTCCTCTAGAAGTCCCAGTAAGATGCTCAGATAATGTCAGTTATGAAGTTTAGAATGTGTAGTATGTATGTGCTGATTATATAGTTGACACACGATAGTTCAGTGCAATTCATATCAAAATGAAGCATCTACTATGTGCAGAATGCTGTGTTAGGCACTGGGGATGTGGATGTGCAAAGAGTAAATATTTGCATGATGCATAAATGAGTAAATGTTGCATTTGACTTTGTCCAAATTACCAAAAGATTTATCTTCCCATGTTCCCTGCTTCACTTATTGGTCTACATGTTGTATTACTTTGTATATCCCTAATTAAAGTACTTTCTCAATTTAAAACAAATCGTCTTTCTCTTTGCAATTCACACCAGGATTATTTCCCTTTTTATCTTGACTCACTTTTGGTGCAATGAGGCATCCATATTAATCTGGTTTTACTAACCTTGTGTTCCTAGAATCCATGGTACCATTAACCTAATAATGAAATTGTACTCAACTGCTATAATCTTATGAAGGAAAAAAAAAGTACCAGTTGGAAAAAGATCAGTTTGAGAACTGGAAAGAGATTTGTCCTTTTGTATTGCTGCCAGTGGCAGACTAGTTCCTTGGTACGGGATTTGGCTTCTGATGGATTAGAAAGAACATTATAGCAGTTAAATGAGTGAACTTCCTATTATACTTGCAAGTTTTAAGGTAGCTCAGTGACCACCTGTGTCAAGGTCTATAAAAAAGACTTGCACTGGCAGGCTTTAAACTAGATGAATTCTAATGTTCTTTCCAATTCTGAAACCTTTTAATTCTAAATTAGCTTTAACCATTATGCCTAAGAAGGTGCATATGCATATATGTGTAAATATACAAATTAGTGATTTTGTAGTGTTTATGTTTTAGCTTTTGTTTTTTAGGTTACTATGGAATTTATAATTTAACCCTGGAATTTTAATCATGATCATTGAATATTTCAAATTGACTTTCTTACATTGAACTCACTAGCATTTAACTCACTAGCATTTATCTTTGCCTGTGTTGTTGTGCCAAGATGAGAAATCTATAATTTGTAAGAAATTTCCCCAATTAAAAAGTACAGTGTTATGCACACAGTAGGTGATTAATAAATGCGTGTTGAATGTTATGATTATAAACATTTCTCAAATTCATTTAATATGCTTCAATGAGCCTATATTTTCATACATTTTTCATAAGCTAAAAATTAAAAAGTACAAGAATGGATTCCTCACTGAATTGCACAGGCCTTATCCAGTCAGCAATTGTGTAGGGAAGTCATTAACCTGCTCTCCTTTCTTTCCCCCCTCCTCTTTGGTTTTGTTTTTTTGTTTTGTGGTAGTCTGACCCTTGGTTATCATTGCAGAACTATGGAGGTGCAATGAGGCCCCCTCTGAATGCTTTAGGTGGCCCTGGAATGCCTGGAATGAACATGTAAGCAAATCTGTTACACTATTCTCTTTACTAAAATAACATTCATTTTAAAAACCAATAATGAGCTGTGGCTCAAACCAAGAAAGGGAATGTATGTATTATTTAGTTGAATATCATGAAATGTTATCATTCTATTCATTTTTAAATGCTCTGCATACTTTTTCTTTTTTTCCTTTTACAATCTTTGTAAATAATGGGTATGCCATTTTCAGGGTCCTTTGATGTAAACTTTTTGCTTGATGTTTCTGTTAAATTTTAATGTTTTGTTGCATGCCAATTAATAGGTATGCATGAGATGCCAAGAGAATGAGAGGAAGGTCTTCAGCATATTGGCTAGATCTCCTGAGGCAGATATAAGAAAGCACATGGACAGGAATAATAAAGAATGGGCAGATATGAATGGGTTGCAATCTGTGTTACTGCAAAGAGTAGCCACATTGATGAGTTCATAGATTCCTTACAGTACCGATTATGAAAAAATGAAGTCACAAAAAATAAAGATGTAAGCAGCATCGTAATTCAAACCTGCCATAGTAAAGAGCCTTATCTTTGTAAAATTTGATTTCTACATTTAGCCAATTAGCCATTGGAAAAGACAAGACTCACCTCTGATTAAAAAGTAAACTTTGATAAAGCCATCCTCATTAAAAAGTAAGCTTTAGTAAAGCCATCCTCATCATTTTCTACCCCTAAAAGAACTCTGATGAATGTTTGATTCAGCCTGTCATAGAGCAAATGGCTGAAAAGTCTGTTTCAGAGAACTGAAAAGTTATTCTTATTTGCCATTGTACTGGAATTTACTGAGAAAGCTCACATTTCAAAACTGTCCAATTTACCCTGCAAGTCCCATTTGCTCCAGGTTAGCTGTTATAAAAGTCAGTGGTAATCTGGAGAATCCATTAATGAATTGCAGATATGTGGCCTAAAGATGGATGACCCAAAGTAATACAGGTACTTTATATAATACTGAACATTGTGAAAAGGTGCTCTACTTGAGCATTTTTGGGGTCCAACTATATCTAGTCCACCTACCTATTAACATTTTACTGGCTCTGAAAAACATGCTAGCGATCAATAATTTTGTCACAAGTTGAGCCAAAAAAAAAATTGGTAAGGGTATGGGACATATGTGATTTCATTGGTGAAAGAAACGTCCAGTTTGGGAAACTCCCTCTACTGAAACAGATTGACAAACATTTGGCTACTTATAGTCTCAGAGAATTCCCAGGGGCACTGGGAGGTCTAATGACTTGCCTTCAGGTCACGTAGCTAGTATGTTAGCTGCCTCTGGTAGTAGTTTCCAAAATATACACTTCTTTTCTAGAATTATTACTTTAATAACATCAGAATTAAAGGTAAGTAATCTATTTTTAAAAAGTAAAAAATTGAAGATAGGAACTGAACTGCTACATCATTAGTATGGAGTATAACTATAATTTTTTGGGGGGGTAAAGATTTATAGATTAACTTTGGTAATCATTTTAAAGTCATTAATATATATCTAATTTCTTCTAATCATATTTACATTACAATTATTTGGTGTATTAGGCAAACCAGTTTTAGAGTGTGAAAAGGTATTATTCCATATGATCACTTATGGCCTTAAAAATGCTTCTTGAATCTCTGAAACTATAATGATTATCTTTGTTCTCCTGTGCTTACATATATGCATAATTAATAACTCATATCCAAATAATATTTTCTACTATGGAATCTAAAAATACATTTGAAAAAATTGTTGTAAAGCATCTTTAATCATTAGACATGTACTTTGGTTTTATGTGATCATTAAAGATAATTTATGTTTATGTATATATATCCAAGCTATGGATCCAAATATATAACAATTTTTCCATTATATCACTCTTAGCAATTTGTATGATGCTTAGATCCTAAGAGTCTCCAACATATTTTCTCCACATTTTGGTGATTATGTTTTATGCTACCTTCAGTATTGTGTCCTAGTTCATTTTCATTTCCTTAGAAGTTATGTTTCTAGAGGAGAAAATGTAAGAATTTTTGCAGTCATGTTTTTTTCAATTTCCAGATTTAAAAAAATCTTAATATGTTTATCTGAAGATAAAATAAGTGAATACATTTCAAGTCTTTTTTTCTGTTTTGTAAGTCCTATACATTTATGGCTGTCTGTATTATTTTCTTAGAATAAAATGAATTTTAAGTAAGATAATAAATGTCTATTTCTGTGAGAATCTCATCTGAAACAGGAGGAAAAAAAGATTGCAGAGGTTTAAGTTCCCGTTTCTTTGTTAAAGACAGTTGCTTTGATATTAATGACATATACTCTAACTCATTGAAGGCCAGCCATGTTTTATAAAAAATCTGATCTCTTTCAATTTCAATTTTTATTATGAAATTGCATAGCTTAAAGTTCATGCCTACACTGTATTTATATAGAAACTTCCTCTCTGACATGCCTTATGTCATGGGTTATAATGTTCACTCTTCATAATGTGATTGATATTAAAAGAGGGGGGGCAGTCACAGAATTTTAGAATCTCATCTAATAATAATTGCCATTCAGCACCATTGTTCTTCTTCCTGCTTACTTCCTCCTACCCTAGCCAAAAATGCTCTGAAGGTTAAAGTGGATTCCAAATGTTCCAAGCACTTGGAAGAAAATTTACTATATAAATATGACTTATTATTAATACTTCTCTTAAAATATTAAAATGCAATTTAATGGGAAACTCATCGGGGGCTATAAGAATAAATGAATATTTATAGAACATTTGAAAGTCACAAAATAAGTATATTATTTTTATTCTATTTTAATAATTCTTGTTTAAGCTTCATACAAAATATACAAAACTACAATAAGGATAGCTGTGTAATATATTGTATTGCTTTTATCATGATGTTTAAAATGATAGATTCAACACTATGTCTTTCCAATCAAGGCTTTGTACAAGATTTTGTATGAATTAGAGCCTAGACATATTTATGGGTCACATTGCTGTCTCTGGTTAACAGGACTATCGGTCAGCATCAGGCCAGCAACCAATTTAACTTGTTTTTATGCCTCTAGCGATTACTCTGATGCTGACTGACAGCTCAGCCACCCAATGACAGAGGATGTTTTAACTGAAAAGAAGTGCCAGTCATCTTCAGATGAAAAGAAAGTCCCAGGCATTAGTCTGAGCATGTAAAGTGTTCAATTCTATTTAAGAAACACCAGAGTAATAGCTAATGCTAACAAATCCTCACTCTTATCCTTAGCCTCTTCTTTGACAGATGTGGTAAGTATCCAGTAAGGGATGGCCAGAATTTCCAGCTGAGGTCTAGTTTCCCCAAATGGAACAGTGCTTCTCTAAATGTGTGAGTCTGTTTGTGGCCCTTTGCCCATGAACTTACTGTATTATTTGGCCCCCAGTTGTTTCTCTACTCTATTTTTTATTTTTCTAAATGAAACAAAGCTGAAGAACAGGTAGTTTGTATAGAAGCACTTGTTTCCTGCCTAAATGATGCATTGATATAGGATCACCACATACTTCAGTTTACACTATAGGGTCTATCATGTCAGTAAGCCCTGAAATCTTATCTCTGAAAGCAGGTTTTTTAGAAACTTAACTTTAGGACAAAGGTTTTTTTTTGTTTGTTGGTTTTGGGTTTTGGTTTTGGTTTGGGAGTTTTTTTAGTGAGGCAGTTGGGGTTAAGTGACTTGCCCAGGGTCACACAGCTAATACGTGTCAAGTGTCTGAGACTGGGTTTGAACTCAGGTCCTCCTGACTCCAAGCTCTACCCACTGCACCACCTAGCTGCCCCAGGACAAAGGTTTTTAGAGGACAAGTTATCAGACCAGGGATTTTTTTTAAATTGGGTGACAATAGCTTAATAAACATAGCATTTCATACATATTTGCAAACCATGCCCCTGTTAAAATAGCTGAAACTGGGAGCTCTTGTTTTGGTGTTAAGAGCTTACGTTTGTGGCTTAATTCATGAGTGTGTGTATCTACAAATACACTTTTTTTCTTTTGGTCTGGACCTGTGGTTTCTTGGTGTAGGTAGTTCCTGGCGTAGAAGCAGCTTCTTCAGATAGAAATCAGCAGCTCCTCTATAAGTGTAAGGGTGAAGTTGATTTATGTTTACTCAATCAAGTCACAGTATCCTACTTAAAGTAAATGATAATCAATTAATTTCACCCAGAAGTTTTATTAAAAAGTGCTAAAAAAAAATACTTGGAACAGGAATGAAGAAGGATTTATATAGGCTGAGGAAACTTGGCTATGTCTTAGAGGTCATCTGTTAGTTATCAAGAGAGTCAAGATGAGTCATTTGAAAAAATTGGAGCAAGCATGGCTTTCTAGTAAAATTTCTGAGTAGGAATATCCTCTGGAGGGCAGGGGGATTAGGAGAAGACTCCCAATTGGTCTTAGACAGGTTTCCTCTCCCCTTTTGCTGGAGGAGGATCTTAGGATCTTTGAAGGGTCCAGGGGATTTTGGAGTTCCCATCTTTCTTTTGGTATCCCAGCAGTATCCCCAGAACTGCTGGCTAAGTTTCTGTTAGGAGCCAAGGGCAGTGTAGACCTAGATTCATGACTCCACCAGGATTCCAGCAAAGAGCCTGTGCCATGCTTGAGGGGATGTGCTTGTTAAACTTAAACCCACTTTTCCATAGACCCACTATGTACTTGTGGGAGAGTATGTCACAGACTCTAGGAGGATATGTAGTAAGTGGCCCTTTCTAAAAGCTGCTGACTAAAGTCTGGCTAACTAAACTGATTCTCAAATGGGAGGAATTATATCAGTAGAAGGTATGTATCAAAGACGTTAAAGAATTACCCACAAACTCCTCAGGGGCACCCCTAAAACTCTTGACAGGGAGGTATGGCCTTGATCCACAACTCAAGATTCACCTGTGGAAGTTACAATAAGAATCCTCGTAGCTTAGATAGGTCACATATGTTGTAATCTTAGAGAGTTGCCTGGAAAATCTAAATGACTTGTGCAGGATTATGCTGCCAGTATGTTTTAAAGGCAGGACATGAGCCTAGACCTTCTTGACTCCAGAGCTAACCTCTATGCCACCCTGCCACCCCCCCTCTCAAATATATATACTATACTTATTGTGTGTGTGTGTGTGTGTGTGTGTAGAAAACATGGGGAGATAACTATATCTAGCTATAGTTGTTCCTATTATATTATTATTATTGCAAATCAGAGTCATAGAGTTATCACTTTGTGGATAATTACAATCAAAGAATTTTTTACTGTTATGGTTTATTACTAATGATCAGCTTAATTTTTTCAGGAATAACTCTACATTGGAGAGATGGCAAGATGGTGGAGATTTGAATGATCATGACTAAGCACTAAAATAACAATAAATGCACCAAATAAAGTAAAAGAACAGCAAACTGAGGGTGGGGAATATTCACAGAAAATAATATCCTCATGGAAGAGGAAAAAGAGAAAGAATAATTTACCAAAAAAGGCCTCAATGCATTGACTAAACATTATAAGGCAAGAACAGGAAAGGAAGAGAGAACACTGGAAGGCAAGAAAAAAGGAACAGGACTTCTAGAAGAGAAACTGGATCTCACTCAAAAATCTTCTGGGTGGTAATAATCTCAGTAACAACTATCTAGCATCTATAAACATAGAATTAAAATCAGTAAAGGAAAAAGTCAAGTCAACTAGGTACATATTAGATTCAATAGTTTGGACCAGGGGTGGGGAAATTCACCGTGAAGTTTGGATTCAGTCAAAGGGCCGCACTTGAGGACATAGAGGTGGCCTTGAGGGCACAGGTTCTCCACCCCTCGTTTGGACCATTCATTGGAAAGTATTGATGAAATGGCAGAATCTCTGAAAAATAGAATAGTCCCAATGTAAGAAGAGGTAGAACAAATAACTAAACAAAAATTTTAAAGAGATTAACTATAAAAATGTCTGCATTGTTCAATATGAATACAACATGGATGGAGGACAGAACCGAGTGAGACAACCTGAGAATTATTGGTCCATAGGAAGCATTTTGGAAAAAAAGGTCCTGAATACCATATTTTAGGAAAACATACTAAAACAGGGTCCCAGAAACTTTGAAAACAGAGGACAAACTTTAGCTTGATGAAACATGCAGGACTTTGCAGAAACAATACTCAAGTTGAATTCACCCAGAAATTTAGTTGTGTGCCTGAAGGCTACAGGTTTCCCCTGATGCAGGAAAAAACAAATAGCATATCAAAAAGTATAAATTTGAATCACATGGAAATTCTCATTCGGGATGAGAAATTAAAGAAAAGCCTGAAATATAATTTACATGTCAATCAAAGAATTCATGGAAGTTTGAGGCAGATGGGTAGAGCTTTAGGTCAGAGCCCCCTAAATAGGTTTTGGGGACATTTACTCAAAGTCAAGGCTTAAATGGGAACAACATTGACTTTTCTAAACCCATCAGACTAGGAGATGATCATGATCAGCTCCAGATAAAGGATAGATGAAAGAAAAGGATTAATCTTGACCAGGAGACTTTCTGATAGCTTTTTCTCTTTGTTGGTAGCCTAGCTAACAGAATCAATAGCTCAGTTTTAATGCTGTGCATTAAAAATCAACAACCTGCTTGGGGGCAACTAGGTGGCACAGTGGATAGAGCACTGGCCCTGGAGTCAGGAGGACCTGAGTTCAAATCTGGCCTCAGACACATCACATTCACTAGCTGTGAGACTCTGGGCAAATCACTTAATCCCAATTGCCTCACCAAAAAAAAAAAAATCTTCAACCTACTCTTATTGGAGAGAGGCTTTGTAGACACTGTAGGAGCAGAGGAACTAGGAGATAACCCTGAAGAGTTAAAGCCTAATGGACGATAGCAGAAAGCAACTTGTTAACAATGATGCCTACACAGATGGCCAACAGACACAGCTAGACAATGAGCAAAGATATAGAAAGCCCAGTGTGGGCAATGGGAGGTCCTGCAGAGATGCAATGACGGCCCACAGAGAGCAGAAACATGATACCCAGCAGAAGTCAACAAAAAGTCGGACAGTGATGTGACCAGAGCCCTGAGCAGCCTTGCAACCTCAGAAGCACTAGTTGCCTGGGCCACAGAGCTTCCTGACTCGGGTGCCCTCCAAGAATGTGCCTTGACTACGTGGATTAGTGGTGTGAACCTCTTCACACATATTCTCTGGCCACACAAGTTCCTTACCTAGAATGTTCACACACATATTCTCTCCATGTGTGCCTTACCTCATGTGGTAATCTGTGTGAGTATATTAGCCCATGGTTATGTGGGAAGATCTTTTCCAATCTTTTTTTTTTTGCTACACTGTTTGAAATTGTCTTTTATTTTGACCTAGGAGAAGCAATCATGGCATAGTGATTGGCATACAGTCATCAGTACTGGCTTCAGAGTCAGGAATACTGGGTTTAAGTCCAGCCCTTGACAGGTGAAGGCTATATGACTTTGGGAAAATCACTTAACCTATTTGGAGCCCCCAGCAACTCTCTAAGATTCCAAGTAGCCAAGCAGGTGCAGGTTTGCATGGGTAGATTTTTCTCCTCTGGAATATCCTACACCAATGAAATCACAAATCTGAATTCTTTTTTCTAAACTGTTTCCAGTGGCTTTCTCGGAATATTCTAGGATATGCCCGAAGTCCTTGAGTTATGGTTTTAGCAGTTGCCGACCCACAGAGTATTTTCAACCCGGGGTCTGGGATAAGAGCAGTGTTTTCTTGACTTGCTGGCCCTGACTTCCATGGCTTCCTGCTTCCAAGCCACCAAACTTCATGGCTGCAGCTTCTTAGCCTGGGAACGTTGAAGGTCCCAGTCTCAGTTAATTGGGATCTCCCAGATTTGGTGGTCACCTGAAAGCACACGAATCATCTCTCCTTGAAGACACAATGACCAAACAAGTTTTCACATGGAGGTGAGGGAGACCTTGTCTAGCGAAGCTTGTATCCTTGCTATTTTTGAACAAAATACACTTCCTTCATTCAGCGATTCAAGTGCTTCATTTCATTCCAACATCGAACCTGAAGTAAGAGGGTGATGGCTTTAGAGCCAGATCTACAACATGGTCACTTGGGAAGTATAGAGCTACATGTGAGGAAGTGCTACCCCAGTTGCTAAATGTACCAGAAAATTTATTTTAAAAAACGTTATTATCTTTTGAACCAATAATCCCATGATTAGTTTCATACTCTAAGATGGTTATGCATAAGAAAAAAGACTCGTCTGTACAGAAAAATTCAAAGTAGCACTGTTTGCAATAGCAAAAGTCAGGAAATAATCTGTGTGCACAATTAATTGGGGAAAAGTTAATAAATTGTGGTATGTAAATGGAATATTATTATTTTTGCTGTATGGTATAATAAATATGAACAATTCAAGAAATGTAGGAAGACATATAAAGTGTGGTACAAGAGCTCAGGAACAGAAGAACAATATTCAGACCTACCAGAACTATGTAAATAAAGTTGACATTAAACAGCAGCAAATCTCAGGTTAAATGCAGCCATAGATAGTGCTACTACCCTTTGAAACTTAGAGCCTACAGCCTTCCTTTCTTTAACAAATGGTAAATAATGTAAGCATACAGCTGTGTTTTAGTCATTTATCTGTATTTGGCTTAACTGTAAGGATTATATTTTGGTTTTTGTCTGTTTTATTTTAAAATATTTATTAATAATGCTAAACAATAGAATATGTTTGTAATAAAAATAATTTGTTTCATTTCAAAAAGAGACATAGGAGAATAAGTTATTTCTATGTTGGAAAAGGACTACAGTAAAGTTTTGGTAGAATTATTGGTATTTTGTTATTAATATTTTTATGTATCAGTTGGTCAAAAGCTAAAATTAGTTTGAGTTAAACATTTGTTTATTATCTTATCTTATAGGGGTCCAGGTGGTGGTAGACCTTGGCCAAACCCAACAAATGCCAATTCAGTGAGTACATTTGTGAGACTGGATATTGTTATAGCTTGTGAAATTAACTCTTTATCATAGTAATGGACTTCTTATTTAGAATAGTATATTCAATAGCTTAGCAAAACATTGTGCTTGTGAAGGCTCTTGAATTGTTTTGTAGTTGTTTAGTAGTATCTGATTCTTTGTGATTCATTTGGGGTTTTCTTGGCAAAGATACTGGAATGGTTTACCATTTCCTTCTTCAACTCATTTTACACATGAGGAAAATGAGGTTAAGTGACTTGCCCAGGGTCACCCAGCCAATAAGTGTCTGAGGCAGGATTTGAACTCAGGAAGATGAGTCTTCCTGACTCCAAGCCTGGGGCTCTATCCACTGTGACACCTAGTTGTTCCTTTGAATCACTTACAATGACCAAAATGTAAATTGGATAGGACTAGTATCATATGTATATGTGCACACACTCAGAAATAAGTAATCAGCTCTAAAGAAAATGCATATACTTGAATTATGAAATTTGTTGTGAAGGTTTTTTTTCCCTACTTAGAGGAGTAATTTAGGTATTGTTTGTAGATGGTTTTTATAAGCACATTAATGTGAATACTGCTGTTTTATCCATTATGTTAACATAGCCCTTTAGTCACTATGCCTAAGAACAATGTATGAACTTCTACAACTATGATAGTCACTTAATATTTCAGGTCAGACTTATCTTTAAAATTTGTAGACCAACTGTTTTTCCTTCTAAATTAGTATCCTAAGATATTTGTATCCTAAGATATCTGTAAGAGATATAACCTGTTACTCCTCCATGATTTGCTTAGTGGCCTACAATGGTTGGAGTTTGGCCAGTCTGATTTTTTTCACTCTAATGTCTGATATGATAGTGGATTCATTCAAGGTGAAAATTAGACCACATTTAGACCTTCTGAGCATGGGGAGATTATTTTCCCTTAAATTTAGAATCTTAATTTGAGTAGTACCAGAGCAATCATGAAACTAACCTAGTATTTCATGTTGCTGTTAATTTTAGTATGAAAATAAAATAGATAAACCATTAACCAACTTGATGTTAGAAAGAAAAAAAGGACCACAATTCATGTGTGTGTGTGTGTGTGTGTGTGTGTGTGTGTGTGTGTGTATCGTTTGGTGCATTCACATACTAATTTTTCACATCTGGAAATTCATTAAAGGAAAATGACTATCTCATTAAATGGAAACACTTCAGACAACAAATTTGAAATGTATGAAAGGTTTTTTTTCCCTATGTCTTACTTCTGAAGCTTTACAAATAGTTGTACCTGACCTTGAAACTGGCTTCGCTCATATAAATGCTACTCAGGGATGTGGTGGAAAGTATTTAATAAGCAGCTCTCAGGAGCAGGGGGAAGATTCACTGGATAAACTTTTAAGTTTATTCTGCATTATTCTGCATTTTCTCCATCACTTCCTTAAGTTTATACAATCAAATAGAACAACAAATCAAGTCCTGATTTGTAGCATTTACAGATTTCTGAGATATAAATGTTCACATTGAAAATTTAACAATCATCTCTCAGGAGCCAGCATGAAAACATTCTAAACCTAAAAACAACCCACAAAAAACCCTTCTTCCTTATTGAAATTACTGTGTATTTATGTAAGTGTTGTGCTCTGCTTCCTCCACAACCCCAGTAAAATGTGACATCCTTGAGGGTAGGGATGGTTTAATTTTGCATTTTGTAATTCTGATGGTTTTTAAATAGTAATAACTTAACTAATGTTTGTTTATCTGAATTGAATCATTCAATCCAACTCACAAAGAAATGCCACCTCTTCTCCTTGCTATGTATAATATTCCAGGTTCTTTCTACTTTTTTTCTTCTATCTGTATACTGTCTGTGGAACATTAATAACAGTAATATCAAATATTTGTGTAGCCTTAATGTTTACAGAGTGCTTTCTATACATTTCATTTAATCCTCACAACTACTTTGGGAAGTGATACGGGTATATAATTCTAAGACTCCACTTTACAGATGAGAAGTAGGCTCAGAGAGAATGAGAGTTTTGCTCATAATTTTACCACTGGTAAGTGGCAGAGAAAGAATACTGTGGTTTCTTCTGGTCCCCAGTGGAGCACTATTTTCACTTCACCAGGAGCAAGCCCCAAGTAAAAATTTTTTTTTCTGATAGTCATCTACAAGAAAACAACAGAATCCAGTGGATTCTACAGGTTTAAATGTTGGATTATATACTATACTTCAAATTCTATGAATTTGAAACTATTTCTTATTCATGCTTATATTCCCTCCCTCTACTCCCACACACAACACCTAACACATAAATATGGATAAATATTTGTTGAGTGAATGAATGAACACCATGTCCCTACCTCCCATGTCTGGTGTAATACACTGAGCAAGTTAGGTACTTAATTTTTTAAATTGAATTGAATTAAGCTCCAAATAAGCTTAAAAGCCTAGAGGAAGAACTTATTTGTAAGCTAGTTTACAGATTTGTAATGCCTTTTACAAAGAGCTAACTACTCTACGGTGATGTGCCAAACTTGACAGCTCATTCTAGTCACTACATAATTAAATAACAAGCCTAGGACCCCAGGCAAAAGAGGAGAAAATGATCAAATCAATTTCCCTCTTGATATATCTGAATCCTCTATTTTTTAATGAAAACATGTTAGTCATCTTAAGCATCATATCACTAACATATAGAAAATTGAAACAAAGACAAGAAACTGAAGATGAATATATAAGTCTGCCATTGTCCTGGGGGAGAGGGGGAAGCAGTACGAGAATACGAAAAATCAGAGTGAGCTGAGATTGGTGTTAAGAATACCACCCAAAATGGAGGGGGGGAGGGTTCTTAACACTGGCTGTTTTTTAAAAAATAATTGGTTAAGAAGATGTTTAAGATAATAATCATAACATAGAGATGGCATTATAATATCAGAAAACAAAGAGAAGTCAGATGGACTTAACCCATATTTTGCTTCTGATAGCTTGGCATAGTGCATCTCCTTGGAATCAGGAAGTCCTGCCCCAACACATACTAGCTGTGTGACTAGGCAAATCACTTAAGCTGTTTCTTCCCCTAAACAACTCTGTAAGACTAAAAAGTTGGGAGATTTGCATTGATAGAGGGAGTTTCCTCATTAGGAGCTTCTTATACCAGTGTAATCATAGGTCCAGTTTTTAAAAAATCACTCAAGAGTTCAGCTTTAGTGTTGTTACTGTTCAGCTGTTTTAATCATGGCCAACTCTTCATGACCACATTTGGGGTTTTCATGGCAAAGATATTAGAGCGGTTTGCCATTTTCTTCTCTAGCTCATTTTACAGATGAAGAAACTGAGGCAAACAGAGTTAAGTGACTTGCCCAGGGTCACACAGCTAGTAAGTATCTGAGGCCAGATTTGAACTCAGAAAATGAAATCTTCCTGACTCTAAGCCCAGTACTCTATTCACTTTATCACCTAGCTGCTCAGCTTTGGTAGCTGGACAGTAAAACCTAATAGGATAAAAAAAATAGATCTCATGATCTGCATCCCTTAGAACTGGGCCATGAGGACACATATATCTGAGACAAACACTGGGGATATACAATGATTTGGGTTCTAGAGGAGGAGAAATGTGAACTAGATTGCATATAGGAAGTTTCAGGGTACTTTTAATGACCTCAACCTTATCCCTGAAAGAAAAAACAATCTTGTATTTGACAATAAACTTGAGTAGAGATTGTATCTCTGCCAGTCATAGAAAACTATAGTCTCCTAAAAATTAAAAATGCACATCCCCCAAAGAGCATGTGGTCTACCTCAGTCAATTGTAACCTGTTAGCAGAGAAGAAATGAGAACCAAAACCAGTATCCAGAACATCAGCAGAAAGATGGATGACTGGAAAGAGAGATTGACTGGTGATATAGCAAGAGGAGAGGATGGATACCTGGGGGATGGTTCCATTAGTATGCATCTAATGTCAGGTTACCTAGAGGACACTAGTCCCTAGCCCTCGCCCTCCAAAGGTAGAGGCTTAATGGGAAATGGGGGCCAAGAATCCATTGGATGAGAAAGAATCAGTAAGTTGTATACTGCATCGCAGGAGGGAAGACCCACATCAACCTGATCAAGGTACTGTTATTCAAGTCCATGGCCTGATAAAAGGTTTATTTTAACAAATAGGTTGTTGGGTCCTCTTTTCTTAATATTTAGCTATATACTAATAAGCATGAATAGTCTTCTACAGAGGAGCCTGGTCGAGGTTCGTTTGTGGAGAGGTCAAGATGATTTTGTTACTAGTGGTCAGATTCTGGCAGTTAAGCAGCCTGCTTGATTTCCTTCTTAGAAAAGTTAGGGTCCTAGATACAGAGGAGGAAGGGACCTCAGGGGCCAGCCACCTAGTCCCACCCCCTCATTTTACAGGTGAGGAAAGTGAGGCACAGGGAGGTTAAGTAAATAATTAGAGAGGTTATAGCTAGGTTTCTCAATGGTTAGAGCACTCGGCCTGCAGTCCGGAAGACTTGAGTTCAAATCCAGCTGGCAGACTCTAGCTATGTGACCTTAGGTAAATTACTTAATCTCTGTTGGCCTCAGTTTCCTCAACTGTAAAATGGGGATAATAATACCACCTTCCTCCCAGGATTCTTGTGAGGATCCAACAGGGTAATATTTGTAAAACATTTAGCAGGCACTATAAAAAATGCTACTTCTTATTATCATCATCATCATTGCCCAAAGTCCTGTGTGTAAATGTCAGAGGCAGAATATATGAACTCAGATCCTTTGGCTAAAAAAAGTGTTCTTTCCCCTATGCAGCACTCAGCAGTTAGAAAGTAAAGGACATAGATTGTTGTTGTTGTTGTTTGTCTTTTGTTTCTGAAGAGGACATGACATCAGGAAGGTGATGCCATGACTTCCAAATTAATTGGATTTAAGTGAGGAAGGGCTGGACAATGTCAGCCTCACTGTTTCCTCCAGAGCCATCTGGATCCACTGGCCAGATATAGATCAGGACAACTGGAGATGGCAGTGGGAGATCTTGGCCTTTTGCCAGTTCTCGGTTTTGTTTACATTCACTCTGAACCATCAGGACCCAAACAATGACCAGGTGGGGCTTGGGCTGGGACCTCTTGTTGCCAATTGGCCAATCAATGAGAGCCAGAGCGATTTGGGTTTAAAGCATGGTCCTTTAGAAAGAAATTTCTTATCTAGCCTTAATCACTGAATGGGCATTGCCTCAGTCAAACTGAGACCTGGGAAAGACCTTAAAATTTTTTTTTAGTGAGGCAGTTGGGGTTAAATGATTTGCCCAAAGTCACACAGCTAAGAAGTATTATGTGTCTGAGGCTAGATTTGAACTCAGGTCCTTCTGACTCCAGGGCTGGTGTACACTGCACCACCTAGCTGCTCCCAAAAGACCTTAATTTTGAAAGGCCAGGCTCTCCATCTGCATCCCGGGCCATCTTTAGTCATCCTGATCTATATCTTGCCAGTGGACCCAGATGGCTTCAGAGGAGAGAGTGAGGCTGGTGACTTTGCAAAGGATGATATCAGTGTCCAAGTACTGAATCAAAATGGTTGTGTTCAGTAGTGTGTAATCTACTTTTGAAAAATAGCAGTTCCTGTTTTTCATGTACACAATTGGTTAAGATGACTGATTTCCAGAGTTCTGGTTACTGGTAAGTTTTCTGGTTTTTTTGTGCATGAATATTGTTCGTAACATGGGGAGAAGGTTACCATTACTACTTAAATAGGACAACCTTAAACTGGATCATTTATCTCCACAACTTTGGATGAGTTTTCCCTTGACTAAGATCTGGCCTTTGTTTTTTAAAACCACAAAGTGATGATGCAGTAGTTCTTTCAGTTTTTACTACTTGAACTGTATTTGTTATTGGCAATACACTTCCTCTTTTTTTTTTTACTCTTTTTCGATTTATCTTTAACTAAAAGTAAGAACACCAGTTCGCTTTGCTTCAGCCTTGATTCTTTGACATGAATCAAAAGAAAATAAATTGTTTTGTCCTTTTCGCATTCTAGATACCATATTCCTCAGCATCTCCTGGGAATTATGTAGTAAGTACATTTGGGTTTGTTTGCTCATTAGAATTGATGTTACATTTTACTTAGGCAAAGAAATAGTTGTCCAGATGTTAAGAAGAGCCCTTGTGTATTGGCTGAGAAGTGAACATCTGATTTATGCGTAGTTGTTTTGTCTGCCATCTACAATACATATGTTGACGTTCATTAGGAGAACAGTTATCAATCTGGTCAGAATTGCCCTGAGTGCTCTGTTTTACTTCAGCATATGCTCTGTATCCAGTATAATATGTACACTTTGTCCAATGAAGAAGAGAGACTTTCTCGGTTATATACTGTTTCCCTTGAACCTACTTTTAAAGTCTAAGTAGATAGTAAACCTCCCCCAAAATATAGAGTGCATCATTCCAGCAGACTACTGACAAGTAAAAGTTAGGAGTTGGATTTTTTTCAGATGCTTTTTCTTGTAATGTCCTTCTTATGTAGGAAACACTAAATGTCTCTAATACTTTGAATAAACTCAACAGTAGCTTAGTAGTTTTTCCTTGCTGCCTGACATGCAGTAAGAGCAACATTGTGTTGTACTGGTCCTTTTGCATAATTGGATTTTAATGCATTGGAAAATTATATATAATTTACAGCCTACACTGATCTCATTTCATGAAAGGAGGTGTAATAAAGAGAAAACAGTATTAAGCCAAGAAGCAAAAGATAAATAGATTAAACTGGAAACCTTTGTTTAGGTGGCTTTCAGAAGTTTGTGACGTTTAGCCGTTATTGAGAAATGAAGCATTTTGTTTATTATCAGTTAGCACAGGCAAAAAAAAATAAGGAATGTTTACTTGCTACCTCAGAGCTTTTTATAACCAGTGGTATGTTGATAGGTTGTGAGTTTAAATTAATCACATAAAAGGAGAAGGAAATTACCTAGGTATTTTTACTTCAAGTTGCCTTTTTCATATTTTAACATTCTAAAGTAAATTCACCTTTGGGCCTTTAAACGAGGACAGTATTCATTGTCCCTAATTAAACAAAACCCACTTTTTTCTAGGACTACATAAAATGTGAATGTAGTGCAAAGTGAGATGTTTGGAAAATGCATTCTTTTTAATCATAGTAATTGTGATTTATAGTAAGTTTGTAGAACTTTGAAGGAAAGTTTAAGTGCCTTCTAGCTGTTAAATAGGGTAGTGACACATTCATTAAGACATGTGATAGACTTGTGTCTACCAAAGCAAAGGGAAATAGGAATCTAGATGTTTTATGGTTAATTTGATCTTTGTAGATAAGCCACAACCAAAGTCTGTTCGAATAACCCACATTAGCTGTGTGTAGTAAATCAGTTAATGTTGGACCTTTCAAATCTTCACTTTATTAGCACATAGTCATATTGCTTTCTAATTACTGAAGTAGGAACACATCTATAAAGAGCTATACACATTGATGTTGGTGATGTTTGGTGGAAGGAAGAAAATATTAAAATTTTTTAAAAAATAAGACTGTCAAGAGTAACATATTTTGTTTACATTAAATCTCTTAATATTTTCATTTCTGCACAACCAGTGAGTCACTGGGAGAGAAAAGTATAAAAAAGTAAATGACAAACACATAAGTAATTTTCATTACATAGATTTAAAAGACCATATTAAATGGTTTCCCTTTTTACTTCATTATGCGCTATGGTTATATCACTAATGATAGAATACTGTACTCGGAGTTATGGATTCAGTGCTTTTAAAATGCTTATCTAGAGTGTTTAGAATTGTCAAATATATTAAAACTAAATCAGGTTTTGCATAATAGTAGAATAAGATAGTGATATTTCACAGAAAATAAATAGAGAAAATATTTTTCTCTTTTCAACTCTGTATTTTGCGAAGACCTTTATTTGCAGATAACCTTTATTCTGTGTTGTTGTTGTTGTTGTTGTTGTTGTTGTTGTTGTTGTTAAAGAGATGCCTTTCTTTTCACTGAATATTTTCTGTAATTGTTTTAGGGTCCTCCGGGAGGTGGAGGGCCACCAGGAACTCCCATCATGCCTAGTCCAGCAGGTATTGGAATACAAATCACCACATGGAATTTAATGAGTAGAGTCAATTCATAAAACTTAAATTAACTTGCTACTGAATAACGATCGCCTCTCATCTCTTATAGAAGAATTGTATAGGTAGCAGTCAACTATGTTCTTTAGTTATTGGTTTTATTTTAAGAAAGTACTAAGAAAATATTTGTTACTATTTGTGAAACTTTGAGCAATTAACTTAAGTCATTCTGAGCAGTGATAAAATGAGGGGCTTATATTGTCTCTGAAGTGTCTTTCAGCTCTTAAAAAAAGATTTTAGTATTTTGACTTTAAATATCTGTAAAAATGCATTAATCTGTTATAGTTACTCATTTTCAGTTTAAATCCTTTAATTAGATATTTATTTTTTAAAATTGCTAAACTCTATCAACATAGGGAAATAGTCTATATAGAATTTAAAGAAAAATTTGTCCAACTTAAAGATTTGTTGAGTAAAAATAAAAGATTTAATCCAAATCTCCCAATTCATGAAGTTGCCACAAAAAAGGGAGTGATTCTTTCAGATTCCCTGTTGTTTGTGGACCCATATACCGGTGCAGCTACAAATGGGACCTCTCTCTCAAATCTCTCAGATCTGCCTAAGGGTGCATGTAAGCCAGTGGTATAAGCCTTGTGGGTCAAAGCCCTGTGGGTACATATTAACTAAAAAAACCAAATTAACATTATCTATGTTGCACTGTATTTTTATTTACTATGCTAAAGATTTCTTAATTACATTTTAATTTGGTTTTACACTAAGGAATTTTGCAGGCTACTTTCAGTTGGAGAGTTTGACTCTTTTAATGTAGGCCACTCACCACAAGAATTAGTTAGCCACTAAAGCCAAAGTATATCAGAAGGACTTTTTTTGTTAATCTTTTCTACTAGGATATTTGTTAATGTTTAAAAAAATTTTTTTTTTTGTAAAGTCAAATAAATAGCAATACTTCAGGGGCAGCTAGGTGGCGCAGTGGATAGAGCACCGGCCCTGAAGTCAGGAGTACCTGAGTTCAAATCTGGCCTCAGATCAAACACTTGACACTTACTATCTGTGTGACCCTGGGCAAGTCACTTAACCCCAATTGCCTAAAAAAAAAAAAGATAAATAGCGATACTTTAAATTATTATTACTTTTAAGGTTTTTACATAGAATTTTAAAACACATTAAATTTAAAAATTATTAGTTTATAGAAATATATCATATAAAAAGTTTGAAATGAAGTTGAAATAATATGTTGTAAATGTTTATATTCATTGTCATTTTTTTAAATGCAAAGCTAGTAATTAATAGTGATATTTTACCTTGCTTTATGAACTCTTTGGAGTTATCCCGAAGGCAAAGCCTTTCATGAATCTCTGCTCAGAACTTCCCCAAGGAGAATATTGTAAAGTTCAGTGGAGACAGAAATACATGAATTAATCTTGTTGTCCATGTCTTAGTTATTGGCTTTGTTAAGTGGCCTTGGTTCAATTAATTTTCAATTACAAGGTCCATATTGCATAATAATATGTTCTTATAAACAACATGGAAAAATAAAACCTTGTGACTTATCCTGGGTAAAAACATGTGTAAGTATTTACAGTCTTTCATTAGTTTGTCATGGTGTGACACCTCATAGGAAAAGGGAGGGACCTCCCCAGTAAGAAAATTCTCGATACCAATACAGGTTGGCCCCTGCAGTTCTTAGACAGTTACCTAGAGCACTGGAAGGTGAAGTGATTTGTCCAGTGTGGGTCAAAGGCGGGACTTAACTTCCAGGTTTTCCAGGCTTCAAGGCTGACTCTCTCTTCTGCCTTCCATGTGTGGTATGCATAACTTCTATTAACTATTACATGGTCACCCAGGACACAGCATGTACTAATCAATAAACCATCCAGTTAGTTAAGGTCTGGGAGGTTACTGGTGGTCTGTGCCCCCAAATTCTCACTCCCCAATTCTCTCCTTTCATCCTTGGTCAGAGGAAAGTTAGTTACTCACTAGATATCAGATGAGTGGCCCACTTTGCAATGTCATTTCCAGGGTAGCTGCACAGAATCTCCAGTTAATCATAGTGACCTTATTCCTCTCCCTCTGGTATTGCATTGGTTGCACACAAAAATGGTGAATGAGTGAAAAAGAAATCTGTCCCTCTAATTATCAACTCGTAGAAGCTTGTAATATATGTTGATTTCTTCCCCACTACACCTGCCTTTACTCTGTAAAGTTCATTTTCCCTTTAATACTACCCAAAAACCAAGGCTATTAAACTTTACAAAGGTCTTTTTGATATTTCTTTTAAGCAATCCAGTGTTTTGCTTTAGAAAAGAATTTTATTTAGTAGATAAAGATTTTCCATAACCAATTAAAGGCTAACCTAGGGTGTGCATTTCAGATATTTTGGGGGCATGGTGCACTGATACAAAGGTAAAACTCAAATACTCGGACAACAAACACACCTGTATGACTGTGTCCAAAGAAGTAACAAGTCTGCTTCAGGGATAGCCAGCAACCTTGGGGCCTGGTGGCACTGAAATGAATGAAAGAAAGTGAAAGGACTTTACATGTCCTCAGATCCTTTATTTATTGTTGGTAAGAAGGAAATAGAAATTTTCTGGTACCATTCCATTGTCACAATGGTTGGCAAAGAAGCAGGATCATTGGTTCCATGTTAAGAGCCCTCAGCCAACTGTTGACACAGCTATTGCCATGGTGCTAAGTAATTTCTGTCTTCAACACAGTGAAGCAATTAATGAATCTCTGGGCACAGAAAATCCATTATCATAGGGCAGGATTACATAGTTAATGGTTGTTCTTAGAAGAAAAATCCCAAGATTTCTCTTCCTTATTCACAGAAATATCCATTTGAATTTACAGAAATCTAGAGAATTAATTGTCATTATGTATAAATGTTTTAAAAGTGATACAGCTACTATAATGTGAGGTATATTATTGTACTTTATAGTTACATGCCTAGGCTCAACACATATTTTTAAATTACTGTATATATGGGATAAAGTGTATGAAAAAATTATTGCCTCAGCTGTTTTGGAAGAAGGTGTCTTACACTTCAGTTAGGTGATTTGTTTATATTCGGATTGTATAGGCTCCTTCTTGTCTTTCTCTTGGAACTAAGCCAGAGGATTCCTCTAGCTCCTGCTAATTATTTGAATAAATTGGAAAAAAAAAACGAATATTCTTAGAGCTTAGGGGAAAATGAGAGACTCAATATAATCACTCTGGCTTTAGGAGATTTGGGCTATATCTGCATATAGTCAATGAAGTGGAGAATTAAGGCAAGTATCTAGTTAATTCAATGAGAACAAATGATTTTACCTCAATTTTATAGACTTCTCAAGTATTAATTGTTTGGGTTTTTTTAAACATCATCATGCAAGTAATCATCTCACTTCTCCATGTCACTGCCTATTTATAGGCTTTTAATCATAATGGAATTGAATTCTCAAATCAACTGAAAAATAACGACTGGCATCTATTTGTTAATAAGCCTTACTAATGCCTGTTTTAGATGATGCAGCTAAAAACATGTCTAAACATTTACACAGTCTTTTGCTAGTTTTTCACTATGTAACACCTCATGTGTCTTGTTAATAAGGAAGGATATTAACGAGCTAATATTTTGTTTCAGATTCTACCAATTCTGGAGACAACATGTATACTCTAATGAATGCAGTACCTCCTGGACCCAACAGACCTAATGTAAATATGAATCTATTATTAGTTTTTCTTAAGCATACACTAAGTACTTCAGATTTGCAGAATCAGTTCTTTTGGACGTTTTTGAAGATTCTAGGTAGTCTAGACAAAGCTACCAGAGGAAAATGAAATTCTCTTCAAATTCCCTAATTAAGTTGAACGAACAGAATTGTAAAATTGCAGGAATTCTGTCCTATTGGCACATCGAATAGACAAAAGAAATTTTATAGAGGTGGCATTTGAATATAATTTAGAGTAAAATAAGTTATTAGTGGTCTCTGGCTTACTAATTATATTATGGGAAAATTATGAATTCTGAGTATTCTATGTAATCAATTCATGTAATCAATTTTATAGTGGCTTATTGTTTTTCATGTAGTGGTAACTTGTTTTTTCCCTTAAAATACCAAAAAGATTTTTATTATTAGCTGTGTTTTCCTGACATGCTATGAACTAGGATAACTATATGTACCATGAGATTAGGAAATCTAGGTCCTAGGTGTTAAAATGATCCAGCACTAAAGCAATGATCCTGATTTGAGTACTTACTTTTTGTAAAATCAGAACCCCTTCAGTTTCACAGTATTTAGACTCCAAGCTGTATATTATGTTCAAATCCTGATTTTAAAATGTGTGGTTTATTCAAAAGGAAAGTATGCCATTAAAACAAGAAGTTTAAAAAGGCCACCTTGACCTGACTTGCCTCTATCAGTGTCTATAATTCTAGGAATTGAGAACCATGAAGTAGAAGCTGGGGCCAAAAGAGGAGTCCCAGCTTTGTCACCTACTAGTTTTGTGATCTTGGGTAAATCACTTTGCCATTCTTAGCCTCAGTTTCCTCATCTGTAAAATGGGGATAATAATATTTATACTAGCTATCTCATAGGGTTATTATGAGGATCACATGAAATTACTTGATCTCATTGAACAAACAGAATTTTTTTTTGATCTTTAGAGCAAGAATGTGAAGTACAATGTGTAAAATAAATGAGCCCACGGATGCAACACTTTATAAACTTTAAATAAAGCACTATGTTGGTGCCAGCTCTGATCTTATGATTATTACTATAAATAACTGGAACTGATACCATAAAATATTGCCATGCCAGTGGTTGTACAAACCGGGGAATTGGAAGTATCAGTTCTGATGCTGGCAGAGTGCTTGGAAAGAACCCTTGTTGACAAAAGCCAACCAAATCTTTCAGGCCCACATTCTGTTTGCTTGTTATGGTGATGCAGATTATAAATTCTATTTCACTTAGCATGAAAATAAAATCTTGTCAGGATTTTTAGAAGCTGAGAATTTGGGAATATCCAAGCATTTGGAGTATTACTTTCATATAAATGTATATAGCTGTAGGAAGAAATCTTCAAAACAGAGAAATTCAAGGAATAAGACTCACATCCTTTTTTTTTCATTCCATCTCTCAGATCTGTGTGATACATTTCTAATCTGATTGTGGTAACAGCCAGCAGTGAGAGGAGGGATCAGGGAGAGCAACAGGCCTTTCTTGATCTTCCCAGCTGACAGTGCTTCCTCCCTGAATTACCTTGATTTATTTGTATATATTTTATTAGTACTTATTTTTATATTATGATAATAATAGTCTACTTTAAGGTTTTCAAAGTGCTTTACAAATATTATCTCATCCTTAATTAGATAATAGCAAAGCATCATTTATAGTCTCCATTCTAATTATTTACAATGCTAATCAATCACAGGATCATAGCTGGCACTTAGAGAGTACTTTATTTAAAGATTATACTGTCACATCCACGATCTCATCTGATCCTCTCAATAGCCCTGTAAGATAGCTAGTAGAAGTATTATTATTAATAATCAGATTTAACTTAAACAACTTGGGAGATAGATGCTTTTATTATTCCCATTTTACAGATGAGGAAACTGGGGCACAGAGAGATTGGGTGACTTGCCCAGTGTCAAGTCGAGCTTTCTATGCACTGTGGTACTTTGCTGCCATGTATGTTCTTAGGTGTGCATGTTATCTATTAACTGTTGATTCCTTCACTACTTCATTTATGTTTTCATATCCCCAGCACCCAGCCCAGTGCCTGGCATATAGTGGGTACTTAATATGTGGTTATTAATTGACTGATTAACTACATGTGCAAAAAACTGTAGCAGTGGCAAAGTTATGTGACATAGTCCTTGTCCTAAAGTGACTATTGGTCTAAGAACGACAAAGCTGAAACTCAGGGTAGAAGAACAGTAGGAGAAGGCATTATAAATCATAATTTTTAAGTGAAAACCATGCATATGTTCCCCATCAGAGTGGTTCATTAACAGATACTTGATTATTGAGGACTGAGTTGTACCCAGACTTTAACTTAAGCTTTTAAATTTATGATCACTCGTTTTCATTTTTTTAATAGTTTCCAATGGGCCCAGGGTCAGATGGTCCAATGGGTGGATTAGGAGGAATGGAGTCACATCACATGAATGGATCTTTAGGTAAGGAAGCTAAAAGTAATATTTAATGTTGTGGCAGTTCTTGATGCAAGGTGTTAATATATTTTAAATCACGGTGTTTGATTGTTGTTGGTATGATGCCTGAATTTCATCTAAAAATATGAAACAATTTAGATGCTCAAATCCAGCTACAGATCCACAGTTGTTTATTTTAATCTATTAAAATGTGTCTAATCTTCAGTTAATGGCCATAGAGAATATTGGTTAAATATCAACTGCATAACTGTTCTTTTTTTAATGATTAATATCAAAAGTGACCAGTTTATCTCCTTTTAGAAGGCAAACAAAATCTCAACCCATTTTTGCATTGAGTTCTTTCACTCTGTTTTACTCTGAAAAGTCCCATGTCCTGTGTGCTCTTCAGTTTCTTTGTACATAAAGTGAAAAAGTTAATTATCATTTACCTCTTTTACCAGGCTACTCTGAAAAGTAAAATATATACTCTCTCCATGTAATTTCTTTAAATAAATTAACTGAATGTATGCCTATAAATTTTGTAATTGGAGAATGAGTTTTTTAAACTCTTAAAAAGCCAAGCAGTACAGGCTGTGTTATCCTAAGGAACAAATCAATATATTTGTTATAGTATGTAATATAATATTATATTGTTACATATGTCAGCAACTATTTTTTACAGTCTTTTAAATTCTGTTATCCAGCATTCTATCAGCTGGAGAGCTCTGTGAGCCTGACCTGTGCTTCCCCAGTACAATGGCCTGAGATGTTCCTAATGATGATCTGGAGGCAGAGCAAGAAACTGCCCTAACTGCTGAATCATGGAATTCTGAATCAGAGAAAGGTTAAGTCCCATTCAGAGTAGCTTGAACACGCAGTTCTTTTTATTCTGTTCACGTTCTTGGGAATGTGCTCATTAATAGGAGGTACATTGAGTAGCAGGCCTCCAGTACATTGAGAGCATATTCTCAGGAGGATCTGTGGAAGTCTGATGGACAGGAGGCCACAGGCCAAGAAGACAGGGATGGGTTGTGACTTGTCACAGGGGATGGAGGACCCCCATGCTAAAATAGAAGGAGGAGGGGGAAGTGTCAAAGGACTGAGAGGACTCTGCTCACCAGAACACAAGTAATCATACCAGTACTCCATATCTGTTTGCTGACCACCTGATATGACTAGATCATTGATTTAGAGGGAGAAGGAAACTTAAAGACAATTTAGTCCAAACCCCTCATTTTATGGAAAATCTAAATGACACTAAATAGCTTGGCTAAGATCACACAGGTAATTAGTGGCAGAGCCAATACAGGAACCCAGGTGCTTTGACTCCAGCACCCTTTCTTTTCCTTTCTTTCTTTCTTTCTTTCTTTCTTTCTTTCTTTCTTTCTTTCTTTCTTTCTTTCTTTCTTTCTATTTTTTCTTCTTTTTTGTTAATTTATTTATTTTTAGTTTTTAACAATCACTTCCACAAGATTTTGAGTTCCAAATTTTCTCCCCATCATGACCCTCCCCCCACCCCACGATGGCATGCGTTCTGAATACCCCTTCCCCTAATCTGCCCTCCCTTCTATCTCCCCTCCCCTTCTCTTATCCCCTTCCCCTTCAATTTTCCTGTAGGGCAGGATAGATTTCTATACCTCATTTCCTGTATATCTTACTTTCCAGCTGCATGTGAAAACAATTTTTTTTTGACATTTGTTTTAAGAACTTTGGGTTTCAAATTTTCTCCCTTCCTCCCTCCTCAACCACTCTCATTGAGAAGGCAAGCAGTTCGTTACAGGTTATACATGTGTAGTCATGCAAAACACTTCCATAGTAGTCATGTTGTGAAAAACTAAGTATATTTCCCTTAATGCTGTCCCGTCCCCCCTCTCTTTCCTTAGAAATGTTTGCTTCTGATTACCCACTCCCCCAATCTGCCCTCCCCTCTATCAACCTCCTGCTCTCTTGTTCCCTTCCGCCCGCCCATCTTCCTGTAGGGTAAGATAGATTTCCATACCCAATTGTGCATGTAATTCCCTCCTTAAGCCAAATCTGATGAGAATAAGATTCACTCATTTCTTCTCACCTTCTCTTGTTTCCCCTCTACTGTAAAAGCCTTTTTTTGTCTATTTTATGTGAGATAATTTTCACCATTCTACCTCTCCCTTTCTCCTTCTCCCAGTATAATCCTCTCTAACCCTTTAATTTTATTCTCCAGATATCACCCCTTCATCTTCAACTCACCCTGTGCCCTCTATTTATTATATTACATATAATTTTTCCCTCCAACTACCCTAATACTGACAAAGGTCTCATGAGTTATAAATATCATCTTTCCATGCAGGAATGTAAACAGTTCAACCTTAATAAGTCCTTTATGATTTCTCTTTCCTGTTTACCTCTTCATGTTTTTCTTGAGTTTTGTATTTGAAAGTCAAATTTTCTATTCAGCTCTGGTCTTTTCATCAAGAATGCTTGAAAGTCCTCAGTTTCTTTTAATGTCCATTTTCCCCCTGAAGGATTATACTCAGTTTTGCTGGTTAGGTGATTCTTGGTTGTAATCCTATCTCCCTTGCCCCCTGGAATATTCTATTCGAACCCCTGCGGTCCCTTAATATAGAAGCTGCTAAATCTTGTGTCATCCTGATTGTCCAACACTCTTTCTACTGAATCATTTGATGCTGAAATGAGGAATTTATATTGAACTTCATGATTTTCAGGGGGCAGTTAGGTGGTGAGTCAGGAAAATTCATCTTCTTTAGTTCAAGTCTGGCCTCAGACATTACCAGCTCTGTGACCCTGGGCAAGTCACTTAACTCTGTTTGCCTCAGTATCTTCATCTGTAAAATGAGCTGGAGAAGTAAATGGCAAACCACTTCACCATCTTTGCCAAGAAAACCCCAAGTGGGGTGATGAAGAGACTGACGTGACTGAAAAATGACTGAACAACAACATGATTTCCAGTTGTTCTTACCACATAAAAAGAGAGATAGAGGAGAGGAGAGGAGAGAAAACTAGAATGAAGAAAAATCCCAAAAGCATAAGAAGATAGTGGTTTATTGTCCCAGTGGATAAAACACTGGACTTGGGGACAAGAAAAACCTGTATTCAAATGCTCCCTGTGTTATCTTTTAATTGAATGACGGACAAGTCATTTAACTTCCCAGAATATTTCCCCATCTGTTAAGTGGGAATGATACTTATACTTACAACATGGTTCTTTTGAAATTAACATTAGATAATGTATTTAAAATACTTTGCAAACTTTAGCACATTACATTGTGTCAATTATTATTACTACAGTGAAATTTATTAAATTGCACTGGATGAAATCAAGCACGAATAGTTGCATTCAGCACCAAGGACAGAAATACCCACATCAATAAGGTCATTGAATCCATTGAAGTATTTAGGAATCGTTTTTTAAGGCAGCCAATGAATTCACAGACTTCGTATTATTATACTGTACCTAATATACAATCTAGCTGTAGGTAAAAGCACCTTAAATGAATATACCATTCTCACCTTAGTTTAAAGTTAGAAGTATATTACAGTGTTTTCAAACCTGATATGTATTTCTGTGGCTGTCTGGTCAGTGTGCCTTTGACTAGCATGTGGAAAAAAAGGTTTTAGAGCTTATAACTATACACATAAATATAGATAGAGAAATACTGTTTGAACTTTAAGTGATAATTCTTTAAATGTAAAAGTGTGTATTTCTTAATATGTGCTCCAGAAACTTAATAACAGTGAGTAAAATCCTAGCAGTAGACTCAAAATGTAGGAATCTAAGGATTTTTCACGATGAGCATATCACATTTAGCTACACAAAAGAAAAAAAATCCACTTTACTAGATATGTGAATAGAATTTTTAAATCCTATGGTTTCTCAAGAGATATTGATGTCCCCATGACAACTGAATTCCACTGGGGACTACATCTTTCTGTCATATTCCACAGATCATCCTGTCACAATCAGAATCACCCATGCAGTTTTTAAAGACAAAATATTTCCTGGAGTTTTAGCACACTTTGAAAAATGAAAGGTCTTATACATATTTCAATACTTTTTATAGTTTTTTTAAAAGACTGTAGGAAGCAAGTCCCCAGAGAAAAGTAAACAGAATCAGAACTATTTACACAATGATGACAACAATGTTAAAAAAAAAATTAAAGACTACAGAACTCTGAACAATGAAATTGGCAAGTACTGACTTCAGGGAAGTGATGGTGAAGCATGCTCCCACCGCTCTGCAGGCAGGTAGCAAGTTTAGGTGCAGAATAAATAATTGCTTCAATTCTCTGTGTTGCTTGTGTGTGAGAGGATAACCACATCTGCACCGTAGCAGATTCAGTCAGTCGTTTTTCAGTCCTGTCTGACTCTTCATGACCCCATCTGGGGTTTTCTCGGCAAAGATAGTAGAGTGGTTTGCCATTTCCTTCTCCAGCTCATTTGACAGATGAAGAAACTGAGGCAAACAGGGTTAAGTGACTTGCCCAGGGTCACACAGCTGGTAAGTGCCTGAGGCTAGATTGGAACTTACCAAGAGAAGTGTTCCTGACCCCAGGCCTTTCACTCTATGCACTGCCTATATAACATATAGCAAATTTGTAAAGTGTAAGGATTGTTAAAACTTGGATCATCTCAATATCTATAGGAAAACAGTGTTTTTATTTCAACTTTAACCAGTCAGTCAGCAAGCATTTATTAAGCACTATCTGTGCACCAGGCATTGTGCTAAGTGCTGGAAATACAAAACAAGACAAAAATGGTTCTTTACCTTAAGAAACTCATATTCTAGTGCAGGAGATAAGCATGCAAGGTATCAAGAATAGGTGGGTGGTCACCCTAAAAGAAAAAGGCAGAAGGTACAATTTGTGCTAAGTCTTGACAGAAGCCACAGAAACTAAGAGATGAACGTGAAGAGGAAAAACATTCTGGGTGGAGGAGACAGCAAGTTCAAAGTCAGAGTGGAGTGCAAGGAATAGCAAGCCGTCTGTGGCTGGATCATAGATTACATGGGGTAGAGAGAAATGTTAGAAGACAGAAACAGTAGGAAGGTCAGGTTACAAAGAGCTTTAAATACCAAACATGGGTGTTTTCTATTTGATCCTGGAATGTAAAAGGAAGTCCCTGGAGTTTACTTAATAAAGAGTGTGAAATAGCTAGACCTGTGTTCAAGGAAATCCCTTTGACATCTGAGTGGAAGATGAATTGGAGAGGGGAGAGAGTTGAGTCAGGAGACCAGTTACAAACTGATTACAGGAGTCCTGGCAGGAGGTGAAGGGGCTGTATGGGAGAGATGTGGTGGTAGAAACAATAAGATTTAGCCACAGATTTGGCATGCTGTGTGAAAGAAGGGTTGAGGATGTTACTGGAGTTGTAAGCCTGAGTAACTGGGAGGTAAGGAGTGCCTTCAACACTAATAGGAAAGTTAGGAAGAAGTATTGGTTTGGAAGCAAAGAAAATGAACCCTCTTTTGGACACATTGAGTCTGAAATCTACTCTAAGATGTCCAAAAGGCTCAGGACTGTGGCTCGGGAGAGAAACCAGGGCTGGATAAAGGGATCTAGGAAACATCTGCAAAGAGATAGTGATTGAATTCAAGAAAGGTGAGGAGATGGCCAAGTAAGAAAGTATAGAGGAAAAAGAGAAGAGTGTCCGTGATAAGACCTTGAATAACTAACTAGGATAATTTGGGTAACTAATTTGGATAACTAGTTCATGGTTATAACATGGAAGAAAAATCAATAAAGGAGCCAAGGAGAGGTCAGATAGGCAAGAAAGAGCAGGTGTTAGTAAAACCCAGATGTCAGATGCCACAAAGAGGTGAAGAAGGATGAGACTTCAGAATAGGCCATTGTCTTTGACAATTAAATCATTGGCAACTTTAGAGAGGACAGTTTCAGTTGAAAGAAGATGTTGGAAGCCAGATTGAAGAGGCTTACAAAGAGAGTGAGAGAAGTGTAGACCTGAGCATAGATGGCCTTCTTAAGGAGCAGACGTACAGGATTATAAAGAATGAGGATGGTTGCATGAGGTGAGAATTTTTTAAAGATAGAATCAATGAGGAGTTTCATTCTTTTGGTTTTAGTGATTACTCTGATTCATTCCTGTCAAATATGCCTTCAACTAAATTTTCTCTCCCTTTAAGACCCTCCTAAATTAGGAGAGTGACAGGTCTCTTCCAATAACCAGGAACTCCTTAGCTAAGCAAAGATTATATAGAATGTCTTAAAACTTGCCATTTGGAGCAAATCTCAGACATTTTAACAAAACCCTAAATGGCACTGTTTCTATCAAGACTAACCATAGCTTGTCACTTTCCTAGTTACCTACCAAACTCATAGTATGGGGGGAGGGAGGGAAGCATTTATTAAGTGCTTATTATGTGCAAGGCACTGGTACTAAGCACTCTGGATACAAAGAGAGGCAAAAGCTAAGACTGGAAATGTGGTAGCAAGAGTAGTGGTAACATTGGTGATCCAGCAATGAGTTTAACTGGAGTGGGAGGCTCTAAATGCATCCAGTGTGGGAGCTACAAGGGGTCCCAGAAGGATCTTCAGATAAGAAAACTGAGACTCAGGCCAAATGATTTGCTTAGCTCATAGTCACACAAATAGAGTCGTCCTTTCCTTTTTGCATATTCCTTTTGTCATGAAATGAGTTAATTCTCTTGCTTGTAGAATTCCACACTGCCATGTTAAAAAAAAAAAAAAAAAGCAGTTGCTCGATAAATGTTTGTTGGCCTGAATTGGGGTTACTTGTTTACTGAATCAGAGTTACAGGCATTACCTGCAGCATGATTCCACATGGTGCCCCTTCTGTACATATAAAACCTCTAAACCTGTCATTCTGCAAAACGTTTATGAATCACCTCCTGACAGAGAGGTGATGAACTTAAAATGTGGAGGGAGACATACATTTTTGGACATGGCTAATGTGGGGATTTTTTTTTTTAGGTTTTTAAATTTTAAAAAAAATTAAGAGGAAGGAGAGTGATGGGAAGGATAAATTAATAGAAAAATACTTGTTGCTTGAAAATTTTTTTAAAAAACTATTTTTAAAACAATGCTAAGGTGCAAGGGGGAAAACATTTATGAAACAGGAATGGAGGGAATGCGGTAAATCAATTGAGAGACTGTGTTTCTCTGTAGTAAGCAAATAGTGTGATAAAAAGGCATAAATCTAGATCACAACTCTTGCAGTTGTGGGACAACACTGTTCAGAGCTCTGAAAATGTCTTGGCATCGTAACAAAGGAAGCAAGGTTGATGTGGGTGGTGGAGGGGGACAACTCATGTCTGCTGTAAGTTCATATCCTACCTCTGACTTTATCTGTGTGACCATGAACAAAGCACTTAACCTGTCTAGATCTTAGTTTCTTCATCTGTAAAATGGGATAATACCTATAGTATCTACTTCAGAGTTATTTTGAGGCTGAGGCAAAATTATGTAAGTCAAGTGCTTTATAAATTTTAAAGCACTAGCTGCATGACAGTCATTGATATTAGCAATATAATCGAACTTAGGGAGCTAGATGGTGCATTGGATAGAGGGCCAGGCCTGGAGTCAGGAAGACTCATCTTCCTGAGTTCAAATCTGGCCTCAGACACTTACTAGCTGTGTGACTCTGGGCAAGTCACTTAACTCCATTTGCCTCAGTTTCCCCATCTATAAAATGAGCTGGAGAAGGAAATGACAAATTATTCCAGTATCTTTGCCAAGAACAAACCAAATAGGGTCATGAAAAATTGAACAGAATTGAAAATAACCAAACAAAACATAGAGGTGGAGCTACCTTCTTTTGTTTTGATGAATCCTATAATTTGCCACAAACAACCAGCCATAAAGAATTTTGACACGGTCAGTTTTGTGCCATGAAAACTCAAAGGCTAAGCCTCAGGTTCCTTTTCTGTCTCACAAGGGGGTATATGAAAAACCTAAATAGGGCTGTGGGAAGGAAATCAGAGACACTACATTTTATTTATGGTGCACTGATAGTTGCAAATACCTTTGTGTTTTTAAGTATGCACAGCTACCCATTTGCCTGGATTTCAAAATATTTACAAAGAGCCTGTTTTCCAGAGTATGATTTACATCTGCATGGGCAACCCCATTATATAGTCCTTAGACGGATATTTGGGATGAAAAATGAACTGGACCCATAAATGAGTAGGAAGAGTAGATGAGACTGCATTGCTCTGGAGAATCTACTGAGTGCTTTTAATGAACCCAAGTTTCCCCTCAAACAAAGGTCCATCTTTCATAAATTCAAGAGTTTGCTGGTGATGCTTTATGGCTTCCAGCCACGTAATACTACAGGCTCCAGAGAATATAAGTTATGGGTCACCAAAAGGTCAATGGAGAGGCACACTATATAAGTGAGTAGGCTGCAAGCTGTTATGGCATATCATGCAGGGGAAGTGGCATAGATGACATTATCAGAGAAATGTATGGCCAGAAGAGGAGGTGGGCATGTAGAGAGGGACACTGGCTAATTGCCAGCCCTCATTCCTTGCAGTGTCAAGAGATGTAGATTAGCATTCCCCTCCCTACACACACATAACACATATAACACATTTCATGAATGCCCTTTGAAAGACTTAAGGGAAGACATGAACAAGAGTCACTCAATGAAAACACAGTTAGTTTGAGATCTCCATTGTTGGTAACAATACACACAGTGATAAATGAAATAATACACCCATGGAAGTATAAAAGATCACTTTCTTGTGTTCCCCTTTATTACAAAGTGCTACATTGTCTTTCTCTGTCACTTTGCTTCTAATTAATAAGCTTTATTAGTAGTGAGCTTATTAATAAAGTATTTTTTATGATAGCTACAAACGTTCTTAGCTATAAACAATTTGCAGAAGCTTCATGTATTTTTGGTAGATGGTTTCTTTCAGTGTTGCTAGCTAAAATCAACATACTTTCAATAATACATATCCTCGCTCAGAAGGAATTTATTAATCCTGTTAATTTCTAGCTTTTAAAATAAGCCATACTATTTTTAGAATGTATTATTAGAATAATAATGCCAAAAATTACTAGTGTTTTGTTTTAAACTATAGTTCATCTTTTGCTATAGGGCCACTATTCTGCAATAATGGCTTGTATAGAAACTTGTACTTCCTCTGTACAGAAAAAGGAATGAATTGTTATTATTTTTCCTTTCTTTTATGTATCTTCATAAAAACAAAACATCTCAGTTCTTTTGAAGACAGAATTTTGAATGACCAACTATAACAATGAAATAATTCTGTGAAGCTCTCATGTATTTCTAGAAGGTTTGACATGGAAGTTTTTATTTTGATTACTGTGGGAAAATATTGGTCATGTTCTTGTTGGTCATGTCTCTTTTCTGGTTTCCAAGGATCTATAAGATTTTACTTTTTTAAAAAAGTCCTGGTAGACTGATCTTATAGTGAGTAAGACCCGGGTTCAAGTTCCAGGGTCAGGTTGCCTTGGGCAAGTTACTTAAGCTCTAGATGCCACTTAGTAGCTGTCTTCACCTGCAAAGTTGGAAAAGAGTGTCCAGTCTGCCTCAGTGAAATGAGCTTCTGCACTAGGTGGTTCCTGTACCAATGAAATCAAATCCAGACGAGTAAAATAAAACAAAACAAAACAAAAAATCTACCTGGGGATAGAGACATACCTGAAAATCAGACCAATATTTATCCCATAAAGAAGTCTTTACTTCCACAATAGTCTTATTGATGAACCCTGGTAAGGATTTCACTGTAGGTTTTTTTGTTTGTTGTTTGTTTTTGTTTTCCGAGGGTGGAAATGCTTCATGAATTTGCCACCGTGCACCAGGAGTGACTCCTATTTACAAATTGGGGGGAGGGGGAGACTTTTTATTTTAGATTCACAGCAGAAGGTAAGTACTTGAGATGTATGTGCTGAAAAATACATTTGAAGCACAGAATACTAAAATTTGGAAAGTAAACCTTGGTTGAATGTACTTAGATACTAATGAGGGTTTTGTGTGTGTGTGTGTGTGCGTGTGTGTGTGTTTTGTTTTGTTTTTCAGGCTCAGGAGATATGGACAGTATTTCCAAAGTGAGTATGTTATATATTTTTTGTTAAATATTTAATTTGAATTGTTAAATTATCTTATGAGCTTTACTCTTAACCATGATAGCTTAATGTTTGAAACCAGTTGGGGAAAAAAAAACCAGTTGGAAATGGTAAAATGGTTCTTTTGACTACCCCTGAATATACCAGTAGCTATTAACAGAACCTACCGAATGTGATTAATTCATGGGTAACCAATTTAGCCTTATTATATTGTTATTTTATTTAAAAATGAATACCATTGAGAAAATAACCTTTTGAAAAGGTTATAAAGTTTAGTCAGATATGAAAAAAGAGATAAATTTGAAGAAATGTATATTTCGTAAAGATATTAGACAATCCTGATTATTTAGTGATTATTCTCATTTCCCTAAAATGGAGTAAATCAAAGGGAGTTTATATTAAAACAAGGAGAAAAGTGAATATTGCAATAGCATGTTGTCTTTTTATTATTAGTGGTTTAGGAATCCAAAAATAAGTTTTTACTTATATGTATATTTTATTTCTAAAGAACACCTTGCTGCTTTTGGGATCATTATAAATGCAAAAAAAAATTCCATGCTTGTCAGAAGTACAGTGTAGCCAGGCATGGTGGCACATGCCCAAAATCCTAGCAACTAGGGAGGCTGAGGGAGGCTGGTGGATTGCTTGTGTTTGGGGGTTCTGAGCTGCAGTGCAGTAAGCTAATCAGTTGTCTGTACTAATTTTGGCACATATGGTGAATCCTTGAGAGCAGGAGTCCCTGAGGCTACCTGAAGTGGAGTGGGAATTAGTCCAGGTCAGAAATGGAAACAGATCAAAGCTTCTATGCTGATCATCAGTGAGATCAAGTCCATGAGTGGCTGCTTAACTTTCAGCCTAGATAAGATAGGGAGAGATATCTCCAAAGCAAAACAAAAACAAAACCAAACAAAAATCAGAAGAGCAGTACAATGTAGGTATGACTGATAGAAACTGTGAATACTGCTGTTGAGTGCATTGGACCATTGCTTTTCATCTAGAGGTTATAGAAATTCATTAAAGGATCATTTCATTTCCTTTAATTTGTCTGTGTAGAACTGCATGACTTCCCCAGAAGTTAAAATAAGATTGTATGAGGAAATACTGTTTTAAATTAAGACTTCAAGTCAAATGTTTAATTTGGAATATGACAGCATGTCTAGGTTGGCTTATTTTGCATAGCAACAACAAATTTGGCAAACAGCTAGGACACCTGTATTTAGGGGCAACCAAGAAGGCTTAAGCTCAAGTTTAAAATCATCTCTTTCCTTTGCATAAACATTTTTAAAATGTTTATAAGTGGAACTTGGATACCCAAGTGACAGAAATGATCTGGCAACAGGACCTTCAGGAAGGCTAACTTTTCAAAATTGGGACAATATATGTAATTCCTTTCATTTTTTTCTCTGTGGACCAGGGGACAACTGGAGCTAGTCATTTCATTTCGTTTACCAGCCCAATTATTTCAATCTAGTTCCAATCTCTTCTACAACACCCTTTCCCCCACCACTCAGGAGAAAACATGTGCACATGCCATGTACTTCTCTTTTTCTTGATTTTTTTTTTACCACTCACAGTTTAGTTAGTTCTAATACAAGCAATCTTTAAAAAAAAAAAACATTTACACATGTGTTTTCACTGATCCCTATCTACCTTACCCTTTTTATCTTTCCCCTTATAAGCCCAGTTATATCAAGAAAATTGCTTTTCCTCTTCCCTCCTTGGTTTTTTCCATCACTTTCTCTCTTTCACTTTCTTTTTTCCATTTTTTTCCCCCATCCCATTTGGAATCCAAAAATAACCTCAATCATGGTGGATAGGCATAAAAGTAGCACTAGAAGTATATCTTTCCCAAGGGAAATGAAAACCACAAGTTTTAAACAAGATCTCATAAAGAAGCAGCCCCATCAACCCTCTAGAGCCCCTGAAAGTATTCTAGAGTCACTCAGAATCTCTACAAAAATCTCCATCAGCTTTCTCACTCTAGCAAAATAACATTTTTTTCTACAATCCCATTCCCTAGTCTAATGCCTATGTTTCTAACAGTCTTCCACCTGACAATCCAGCCATTCACTAAACATTTATTGACACTTCCCACTGTTTACTGAGCTACTCTTGGGTTTATCAGCCGTATATATGGTGGTGGTTTTCAGTTCACAAATGGAACGAAGTAAGGGAAGGGGGGAGAAAAAGAGAAAATTTTCCTTTTTCTCAAGCTTTAGCATTCAAGAGAAATGAAAACTTTCTAATTTAGTTTTATTATTTTTGTCTTGTTTAATTACAAGTATTAAAAGAATATTGTCTTCTACTTTTTTTCATTGCAAATCTCCAATATTATAGCTATATAATGGATTAAGCAGACTTCTATGAGCCTGACGGAGAATACACACACACACACACATAGAGTAACACACACATCCACAGGGAACTTACACACACGTTCTTACATATGCATATATGCGTTTGTATTTTCTATGCAAAAATGTGTTCTGAGCAAATGAATTATAGACTTTTAGCAATGTAGAACAGAATAGGTAAAACATCGAGGTATATGCCACCAGGCAATTGCTTCCAAGATGTAGAGTTGATCTTACATAATAACAACTCAAATTCATATATATACATACATACATACACACACACACACACGCGTATGTATGTATGTATGTATGTATGTATGTATTTGGAACTTTTAAGTTTGACAAAAACGCTTTTCTCAAAACAACTCTGTAGAAGTATTATTAGCCCTATTTTTTAGTTTAGTTTAGTTTAGTTTAGTTTTGGCTTGGGGAGGGATGAGGTGAGCCAGTGGAATAGATTGGACTTGGATTTCATTGGTATTGGGAATTCAACATGAGGAAACTCCCTCTGTCAATGCAGATCAGAACCTGGTCTGTAACTTATGGTCTTAGTGAGTTAACCAAGATAAGTGAATGTTGCTCAACCATTTATTAAATACCTACTTTGTACAGGGTACTGAACTCAGAACTGGAAGTACAAAGATGAAAGGCAAGAGTCATTTTTCATTGTCCATAGAGGGGTGATATGGTCCAGTAGCAAGAGTAATGGATCTGGTGTCAGACAACCTGAGTCAGGGGGCGGGCGAGGGAATCAAACCCCACCTCTGCCAACATTCAGTCCATAAACTCTCTTGGCCTCATTTTCCTCATCTGTGAAAATAAGGAGGTTGTACTACATGACCTCTCAGGTCACATCCAGTTCAGATTCTATGAAAAAATTCCTTTGCCCTCAAGGAGGTTGCAGATGAGTGGGGAGAACACCATAGATTTATACAGATTAGTATAATTCAGGGTAGAATGGGATCATAGATATGGAGCTAAAAAGGAACCTTACTCAGCCTTTTTAGTGAGTCATCTAGTCTGACTCTATTATTTTACAAATGAGGAAATCGAGGCCCAGAGAGCTAAGTTAACTTTCCCAAGTTCACACAAGTAGCAGATAGCTGAGGTGGAATTTAAATTGGGGGCCTCTGGCTCTAAATGCGGTGCCCTGCGTGTGATGGGGACAGAGCAGAGGTGCAAACAAAATGGGAAAACTTTAGGAAGGAGGAATCACTTTTGTCCACATAGTCAGCAACATCTGAGGAGGGTTTTGATGATGAGATGATGATAGATGCACATCAATGAAGAGCTCATCCCTTTCTTTGGATAAGCACTGCCTCATACCCTCAGATGCCACTGCTGAGAATGTGTTCGGGTTTATGACCTCATTGTGTCATTCACTGATCACTTAGAACACAATTTCTGTAAGTAACTTGTAAGAATTCCCCCAGAGGACCTCTTGTTATTTCCACTGCACATCCTGCACATTCTCTTCAGGTAAAATGAGTTTGCCATCTCATTAAATGACCATACAGTGATGGCTTAGTGAACTGGGCAGGACTGGGTGATACAGTCTTTTAGTTCGTAATGTGGCTTAGTCACTTTCCTGTCCGTGTTTTTAAAAATATATCAAATAGGATGTTAACGTTGATCTTGGGGAAAGTGACTTCTCCCTTAGTAGATCTTAGCAGAGTTTCCTCACCTGTAAAATAAGAGAATTGGACTAGCTGACCTCTAAGAACCTTTCTAGCTCTAAACCTGTGACCCTGGGATACACTTTACTTAGCAGGGGTGTGTGAACCAGCTAACATTACTATATTGGCTTCTTCACATATAAAAATGATGCATTATTATTATTGCTTTAAATATTTTGAGTCACCCCTTTGTTTGAAGTCAAGTAAACATTAGGGACTCCAAACCATTTGATCAAGAAATGATTTACTCTAATATTTGATCAATCCATGCACTAAAGAATCCCCTAATGGAATTAAACCACTAATGAAGCTCTCTGAGCACCTTATTTGCTCCATGGGAAGTGGCCTTGACATGAAGAAGAGTAGAATATATTTTGTAAGTTTATTTATATACGTATTAGCAACCTGGAAAGCACTCTTTTGGTTTGTCACATGTATAATCATGTTTAATAATAATAATATTAATAATAATTAATTCCATTTAATTTGAAAATCAGAAAAATATAGACCTTTAAGATCCTGAATAATGTTATGTTTTAATTAACCTCATTTGAACCAAGTTGAAGATGTAATTCCTGTTTTCAGAGTTTGATGTGAAAAATCACTAATAAAAATAAATATGTTTGAGGTTGATAACTTTCATAAATGTTTAGTGATTTCAGTAACAGACTATATGATTCATTTTAGAAATGCAAGTGCTTTTTCTCTCTCTACATACGGGTAACTGCAGCATTACATATGTGTATCTTTTGGTGAGGGTGGGAATTTATAGGAAAAATAAGATACTGTTTTTGCTATTCACTGTTGCTCTGTGTTTCATTTTGTTCTACCCCTGTGGAATTTAACAAAGCACAGAGTTCCAGTCAACTTCAGGTCCTCTCTGCATGGGACAAAGTAACAAGATACAAGCCTTACTTTACTTCTGCCTTATTTTTTAGGTTTTTTTTTTTTAAGTTTAATAATATTTTATTTTTTCCCCAGTTACATGTCAAGAAAACTTTTAGCATTCATTTTTACAAGATTTTGAGTTCCAAATTTTTCTCCTTCCCTCCTCTCTTCTGAAAATGGTAGGCAGTTTGATATAGTTTATACATGTGCTGTCACATAAAAATATTTCCACATTAGTCACATTAATCAATTTCTGATTCAAAAAAATAGCAAAACACATTATTCTTGGGTGACTATATTCATATTACACTTTAGTGTTTTTGACATAACTTGATTTCATCACTCAAGCTTAAAAACTTCTGAGTAGCCTTCTTTGATCATCAAAAATCTTTTCTTCTCCATACCCAAAAGAAGTGACCAGGGTTGAGGAAACAAATCCTAAACCATTAGCCCCACCTCAGATAACAAGTAAGGATTTAACCAAAAGGTAAAAGTCAGGACATGGAGGGGGCAGCTAGGTAGTGCAGTGGATAGAGCTTCGGCCTTGGAGTCAGGAGGACTTGAGTTCAAATCTGAACTCAGACACTTACTAGCTGTGTAACCCTGGGCAAGTCACTTAACCCCCATTGCCTCACCCAAAAAGAAAAAACATGGAACATGGAATAGAAGTGCATTTTGCATCGTCTGTTGAGAGTGAAGACATCATATTTCCTGGTAAGGCTAGGGTATGTTTCAATTTTGAGACAGTGGACACAATTTAAACACAGTATGCAACAATTTACTGCTGTTTTCAACATTTCATTAGTTTGTTAAGGTGAGGTGTTTAATTTTTTATAAAATAATTAAATCTCTTAAGATGCATGGCAAAATTTTTAAAAATGTACCAATTAACTTTTAACTTACAAGCTTCACATTTTCTTTTAAAGGATGCATAGAAAACAAGTCCTTAAGTTCTAAGGCATTCCCTTTTGTGGCCAATCGCTGTAGTTCATTCTCTCTTTTTCTTTATGGACCACATAAAAAGAAAATTTGTTGAAAGGGTGTTGCTATGCAAAATTGAGGGTAGAATTAAAGGAACATGCTTATTAAAACAGTGACCTTTTAAGTTTGATTAGTAAAATTACCAAGGGCAGTTACTGCCCTATTATGGCTCATCAGTAGGTAGGTTCCCTTCATAGTTCCCTTGCTGAGATTGTGGTTTAAAGTCTCCAGGATATTAGGAAGTCTATAAGCTAAATGTGGAGATTTGAGTAATTATTTCTGAAACTAGGAGGGAAAAAAAGGTTGTGGTATGTGCTATTTTTTTTCATTTGGGAAAATATTTGTGTTTGTTAAGGTACAAAAATGAACTAGTACTCATGCTAGAAGGCTAAGATTAGAAACAGAGGTGGGTCTGTCTCCTTAGAGATGTTTTAGCATCATTTGTGACATATAGTACAAATCAATGTCTTCAACATTGTGTTATTTTATATATCTTGTTTACAGAATTCTCCCAATAATATGAGCCTGAGTAATCAGCCTGGCACTCCAAGGGATGATGGTGAAATGGGGGGAAATTTCTTAAATCCTTTTCAGAGTGAGAGTGTAAGTACTTTTTTGATTATATTACTATACATACGTTAGATCCTGAAATAAGAAAAATGTGTATGTCAGTCACCAAGCATTTATTCAGCACTATGCTAAATGCTGGGGATATAAGGAGAGCAAATTGTGTTTGGATGAAGCAAAGGACAAACAAATTAAAATAAAAATGACATCTCAGTAACTTGCCCCATGATAAATGTTTATGTTCTACTTTGTTCTTTCATTTTCCTTTCCTCTACTCATTTTCTTTTAATTTTTTTTACCTGAACATAACATGTAATTGCTGCATACAAAGCAGAAGATAAAAAGAGGATTGGTTATGAAACCATGAATCTCTATTCAATACTCCTTTCTTTTTTTAACAAATATAGAATAAATTCAGCATGTTACTTTCAAAGCTGTCCTGCTTGTCTGTACTTCCTTCTAAACTTCCTTCCGGTTTTTTTTTGTGTGTGTGCATTAAAAAAAGTAAATGTTCCCGTGGCCTTCTTTTCCTTTTCTTTATTTTAGTATTACTGTTGGTAATCCTTACTCAGCAAATCCCATTCCCCAATTATAAACAGGGAAGAGGGTATTCTTTGTAACAAAAAAGCATAGTAAAGCAAAACAAATCCACACGGTGGTCCTCTCTGAAATCATATCTCATTGTGCTTCTTGAGGTTCTCTGTCAGGAGGTTGGTCATATTCTTCATTGTAGGTCTTCTGGAGCTGTGTTTAGCCATTACTTTGATAGGTTTTCACATTCTGTTCTGCCTACAAACATGCCCATGTCACCACCATACTGAAAAGACCCTCACTTGGAAAGGAAAAATCACTCTCATCCCCACTAACTATCGTCCTGTGCTGTCCTTTCCTTTGTGGCTAAATTCCTTGAAAAGGCCACTTACAACAGGTGCTTCTGTTTTCTCTCCTGTCTCTCACTTCTTAACCCCTAACAATCTGGCTTCCAGCCTCATCATTGTATTGAAGCTGCTCTTTCCAAAGTTACCAATGATCTCTGAGTTGTCAAATCCACGGGCCTTTTCTTAATGCTTCTTGACTCTGCAGCCTTTCACATTGTTGGTCATCCTCTTCTCTCCTGGTTTTTGTTTTACCTATCAGACCTCTCCTTCATCTTCTTTGCTGGGCCTTTATCCAGTCATGCCCACTAACAAGTAAGTGTCCCAGAGGATTCTGTCCTGGGGCTCTCTTTGTAGCCTTGTCAAAATCAACCATCCTAGTGGTTGTGGTTGTGGTTGTTGTTGCTGAGTCATGTCTGACTCTTTGTGATGCCATTTGGGGTTTTCTTGGCAGATATACTGGAGTGGTTTGCCATTTCTTTCTCCAGTTCAAGATGAGAAAACTGAGGCAAATAAGGTTAAGTGACCTGCCCAGGGGTCACACAGGTTGGATTTGAACTCAGGAAGATGAATCTTCCTGACTCCAAGTCTGGTACTCTATCCACTGTACCACCTAGTTGCCCCATGCATTCCCCTTACTCCTTAAAATCTTCAGAACACCCTCAGGTCCTGTGTTGGTCCTGTTTAACCTCTTCAGTACACTTTGACGACATTATGATTCTCATAGGATATTTGTTTCTTTTCCCCCTGTTGGAATGTTAGCACTTCATCATCGTATAACCCCTTCCAGTTACTCAATAAGGTTTCTCTTGGCTCTCCATTTCACAGTTCTTACTCAGCTCTAGTCTTTTTCATCACAAGTACTTAAAAGTCATCACTTCCCGTTAAAGATCCATTTTTCTCCTATAAGATTATACTCTGTTTTTCAATAATTCTTCGTTGTAAATCCACGTATTTTGCTTTTTATAATACTGTATCCCCAAGATCTCTCATTTATTATTGAAGCTGCCGACTTTGGTGTCAGCTACAGTGCATGAATTCTTTTCTCGCTGCTTGCAGTATTTTTCATTGTTGTGGAAACTCTGGATTTTGACTGACATTCCTGGGACTTTGGGGGGTTTCATTCAGGAGATGATCAGTGGATTCTTTCTATTCCCATTTTGCCCTCTGGTTGGTTCTAACAGGTACTGGCAGTTTTCAGTTATGATTTCTTGAAAGATAATGTTCAGACTTTTTTAACCATGGTTTTCAAGGATTCCAATAATTCTTATATTATCTTTCTTTGACCTTTTCTCTAGATCAGATATTTTTTATAACTGACACATTTTCTTCTCCTTTTTTAAATCTTTTGTTTTTGTTCCAGTATCCCTTGCTGTCTCTTGAAATCATTGATTTCTTTTTTTATCTATTCTAACTTTTAGGAAGTCTCTTACTTGATTAAGAATTGCTTTCTGTTGTAAGGTATTATTTTCCTTACAGTTTATTCCCCTAGGCATTTTATTTAATTTTTTATCATCATATATTCATCCTTAATTTTTGAATTTGGGTTTTCTGCCAAGAACTGGGGTCATCAGTCCTGCTTGGTTTCAGCCTTGTTCACCTGGGCTTCTACACGGACCTCTACTTCTTAGGACATGTCTATGCTAAAACCACTAGCAGATATTTGTGCACCCTGGATTTTTAAGTTTTAAAGTGCTGGATCTTCATGATCCTCCATGACATTTTAGGACACATTGCTAGGTACCTCAGAGCTTCTGGGACTGGGCTTCTCATTCTGAGCACTACTATGCCCAAACTGGTTGCTGCCATTCCTCTTTGATTTCATAGGCCATGCAACCTCCGTAGATCTTTTTGGAAGGAGCCTTTTGCTCTTGCTGCCTCTGGATAATGTTACTTACTGTAGCTTCTCATTGAATTACTTAATCGTTATTCAGTCTGGTGCTGTTTTTAAGTTCTGCAGGGCTGCATGCCTCCATCCAGTCAGCCATCATGGTTGGAAGCCCTCCTTTCTCTTGTTTTCTGAGTCCTTTTCTGTTGGTACATCATGACATGGAGGTGACCAACTGTGGGTTTTGTAAAGCCATATCAGTGTGGCACAGGTCCTGGCAGTTCATCGTACCAAGCTTCAAAACCTTTGAGTACAGACCCAAAAAAGCTGTGTGTATTGTCCAAAGACAGCCTCAGTTTAAAGAGGCTTATCACCAGAAAGTTATTTACTAGGTGATATTTTTAGGTGGAAGAATCAGGATGACTCCAAGGTTGTGAACATAAGTGTCTGGAAAGATAGGAGCACAAGTTTGGATATATGGATATTGAGATGCCTGTAGGATGGGCAAGTAAACATTCCCAACATGGAGTTAGTAGTGAAGGACTAGAATTTAGGAGAAAAATTACCAATAAATACATACACTTGGAAGTAATATGCATAGATATGATCCTTGAAGCCACAGTTCAATGATGAGGCCACCGAAGGCACAAAGTTCAAAGGAAGTAGAAATGACTCAGAACAGAGCCTTTAGGGACATCTACTTAACAGGTTAAGGAAAGAGAATGATCCAGCAATGAAGACAGAGAAGGGATGATTAAACAGGGTAGAGGAGTAAAATGAGGTCAACAATAGCAAAGGCTATTAAGTAGAAAGGAGTTGGTGAAAAGGCCATTGGATTTAGCATTTAAGAGGTAACTGATAAACTTGGACAGAGTTATTTCAGTTGAGTGATGGAGTTGGGAACAGACTGCAAGGGATTAATGAAAGAGTGACCAATGAGGGAGTATAGATGGCTCTTTAGAAGGTTATTAACTGTGAAGGAATAAGAGATATAAGACAGCAGCTTGAGAGCTTGAACCGGGTCAAGTGAAGAATTTTTAAGGATTGAGTAGATCTGAACATATCTGTAGATAGCAACAAAGGATCTAGTGAATAAAACAAGATATAAAGTGAGAGAAAAAGAGGGGATAATCAAGGGAGAATAATCCCAGAAGGGATGGGGACCAAGAACATAAGTGGAAGGTTGATTTTGACATGGTTGACAAAGAAAAAGCCACTTTTCCCCAAAAGACTTGAGCAAAAGAGGAGTGGTTAAAGAATGATGAAGAGTTTTTGAGGTTTGTGATGTAGGGAAAAAGACAAAACTTCAGAGAGATAACCTCTATTTTCTCAGCAGAGTAGGAAATGAGGTCTTCTGGATAAGAGTGTCAAAGAATAGGTAGAGTATGGGAAAATTGAGAAGAGACAGGTCCAGAAGAACCACTGAGGGGAGTGTGATAAAGAGTCAGTAAGGGAAGAGTAAAAGGATTGATTGTTACACAGCCCATTTGAGATCACATAACATAAATATACAGGTAACAACCCATTCAGCATGGTTACATGATTTCTGGTTGCGGTGTTCAGCATCATAAGAGTAAGAACAGAGATGTCACATGGTATGAACAATCTAGGCTCAGGAGTGGCAAGACAATGGGAAATAGGAGCAGGAGGCCAGTCAATGTATTTGAATTACTCAGCAAAATTAACATTGAGCAGGGATAGGGGCAGCTAGGTGGCACGTGGATAGAGCTCCAGTTTTGGAGTCAAGAGGACCTGGGTTCGAATCTTGACACTTAACAGCTGTGTGACCCTGGGCAAGTCACTTAGCCCTGACTGCCTTACCAAAAAAAAAAAAAAAAGATTGAGCAGGGATAGCCCACAGAGAAAGCATATAGGGTTAGAGGGATTAGATATCATAATGAGGTTAAAGAATAGTTTTAGGAAGAGTAAGGGAAAGGGAGGGAGGAAAGAGGGGATGCTGTGATTGGAAAGGAATTTTGGAGTTCTTCTGAATCATGGAAATAGACTGTCACTATAAGTAGTAAAATTTGATATCGTGGGAGTTAAGGAGCTGGGAGTCCAGGCTGTTTGAGGGAACATTGAGACATATATTGAAATCCCAAACTGTTAAGGCAGTGGTGGGAGTAGAGGAGACTAAGAGCCAGGTATTCATAGTGTTTAGAAAGGGGTGAAGGATGTCTTAGAGTCCGGTAAATGACTGCAACAAGGATCTGGATCAGGTGACAACAAAGGGAGAGGGGCTGCTGAGCAGAGGTGGTAAAAGAGTCAGTGGTGAGGAGCCAGAAGTCAGCCTCCTGGCCTAGCACTTGGACAAGGCGGTAACTGCTGATAAC